CAACATACTTCAGCCACGTTACTGTGACTCCTCGTCTGCAGATGTTAACTGCAACCCCGTTGTGCTTAGGTTTAATTATGTCGTCGTATTATGTACGTCTCTTATGCTTTGACACAAATGATAGACCAGCCTGTTTTCCCTAATGTTTCCCAACGTCAAGAAACTGTCGTAGTGCCCGTTATCCTACGGGCAGAGGACCCAAAACAGAAAACGGGACAGTTACGTCAATTTCGCGAGCCGCTACCAATTTCTAGTTCGACAGTTGCTGGCCTTAGGTAGAGTATACGTCAAAATGCGACGTTCCATTAGGAGGACGAGTTTGGGGCTGCCGGGAAGGAACAAATGAAACACACGGGTGATACACAGTATATTTATTATAATATCTGTCAAAGTTTTATTGTGCAGGCACCTCGACACCACCTCCGTAAACACCACAGCCAACAAAGATGGCTGCCACTGTCAACAAAGATGGCTGCCACTGTCAACAAAGATGGCTGCCACTGTCAACAAAGATGGCTGCCACTGTCAACAAAGATGGCTGACACTGTCAACATAGCCTATACTTAAAAAAAATAAAACAAATGTAAGTGTTATCCTTTTAAAACTCGATAACAAATTCGCTATACAAGGATTTTCTCGGTTATTGTTTAACATTTTTAATTTAATAATGTGTTCAATTCTCTGAGTATCTACATATGTACATATGTTAGTCTACAACAGCTGACACACGTAAACATGGGTAGTGTGTAGCGACCTTGAAGGAGTAGCCTGAGGCAGCTGGTGCTTAGATATAATAGTTAAGATGTGATGACTGGCATTCAAGGGGAGCAAGGAAGGTTAGAAAGAATGAAAGAAGAAAGCAGAGCGTATTTACGTTATGAACACACACACACACACACACACACACACAGCATATGCGAGGCATATGCGAGGCATATGCGGCATATGCGAGGCTGGCTAACATCAGAACGGCGTTCAGGAACCTGTGTAAGGAATCATTCAGAATCTTGTACACCACATATGTAAGACCAATCCTGGAGTATGCGGCCCCAGCATGGAGCCCGTACCTTGTCAAGCACAAGACGAAGCTGGAAAAAGTCCAAAGGTATGCTACTAGACTAGTCCCAGAACTAAGAGGCATGAGTTATGAGGAAAGGCTGCGGGAAATGCACCTCACGACACTGGAAGACAGAAGAGTAAGGGGGGACATGATCACAACCTACAAAATCCTCAGGGGTATCGACCGGGTAAACAAGGACGAACTTTTCAACACTGGTGGGACGCGAACAAGGGGACACAGGTGGAAGCTGAGTACCCAAATGAGCCACAGAGACGTTAGAAAGAACTTTTTCAGTGTCAGAGTAGTTAGCAAATGGAATGCATTAGGAAGTGATGTGGTGGAGGCTGACTCCATTCACAGTTTCAAATGTAGATATGATAGAGCCCAATAGGCTCGAATCTGTACACCAGTTGATTGACGGTTGAGAGGCGGGACCAAAGAGCCAGAGCTCAACCCCCGCAAGCACAATTAGGTAAGTACAATTAGGTAAGTACACACACACACACACACACACACACACACACACACACACACACACACACACACACACACACACACACTCGTGACTGCAACAAAGGATAGAAGGAAGACGGAAAGAATGAAGCAAACGGAAGGTGTTTATTGTGACTCATCGTCTGCAATCGAAAATGGCGGGAGATATAATGACCAAACCATGCGCCAGAAGATGAAGAAGCAACACTTTAATTTATAAAGACACTTAAACACTTGTGCCTGCATCATCAACCTTCAGCACCAGACAAGCACAGTCTCTTCCACCCTGCAAACTGTCAATCTTGATGTTTGCTTTTAATTAGTATATACGTCTTGAGACCTGCTTGGCTAGATTGACATGCAACCAAGGAGGGGTTGCAATAGGTAATCAAGACCACGTATTAATGCCAATGGCCTCGAAAAGTTCAGATGCATTCGAGGGGGAAAGACATGAACGAGGGAGCTGAGGCTTAGTGCCACAAGAATGCCAGGCTGGGAACTAGGGGGCCTAGTGCCACAGAAAAAGAAGTTTCATAGGGTAGGGGGGGTGTAAGAAACACTAACAAAGCTGATTATGAGCAGAATAGTTTAATCAGACACCCGTTCTGCTGAATCTGCCAGCAAGGGGGTGTGAATCAGTGCAAGACAGTCTCTCGGAAAATAAATTGTAGGGACGCTAGAGAAGGTAATGACTATATACCAAAAAAATGGGCGTTAATCTTGTTGATTTTCTTGGTCCAGGATAACAAGAGGTCGCTTGACTATATATATTTTTTTCACGAGAGAGAGATAGGGGTTGGGGGATGGGGGTGTTAGTGACGCGGGTACACACACACACACACACACACACACACACACACACACACACACACACACACACACACACACACACACACACTGCAGTGTGTGTGTGTTTTGCTGATGCAAAAATGATGAGGTGGATTAAGTCAAAAGAAGATAATAGGAGGCTACAAGGTGACCTGGACAGACTGAATGAATGGTCCAACAAATGGCTACTACAGTTCAACCCGAGCAAATGTAAGGTAATGGAACCAGGCAGTGGAAACAGGCCAGAAACAGGACACCGAATAGGAGATGAAGTACTTCATGAAACGGACAGAGACAGATCTAGGAGTTGATATCACACCAAACATGTCTTCTGAAGCCCACATAAAAAGAATAACATATGCGGCGTATGCGAAGCTGGCTAATATCAGAACTGCCTTCAGGAACCTGTGTAAGAAATCATTTAGAACCTTCTATACCACATATATAAGGCCAATCCTGGAGCATGCGGCTCCAGCATGGAACTCGTACCTTGTCAAGCACAGGACCAAGCTGGAAAAAGTTCAAAGGTATGCCACTAGGTTAGTCCCAAAACTAAGAGGCACGAGTTACAAAGGCTGCATGAAATGAACCCAACGTCGCTGGAAGATAGAGCTCTGGGAGACATGATTACTACCTACAAAATTCTAAGAGGAATCGATAGGGTAGATAAAGATAAATTGTTTAACACGGGGGTACTCGAACAAGGGGGCACAGGTGGAAACCAAGTATTCAAATGAGCCACAGGGACGTTAGAAAGAACTTTTTCAGTGTTAGAGTAGTTAACAGATGGAATGCATTAGGCAGAGATGTGGTGGAGGCTGACTCCATACACAGTTTCAAGTGTAGATATGATAGAGCCCAATAGGCTCAGGAACCTGTACATCAGCTGATTGACAGTTGAGACACGGGACCAAAGAGCCAAAGCTCAACCCCCCCACAAGCACAACTAGGTGAGTACACACGCGCACACACCATTTGATTGACAGTTAAGAGGCGAGACCAAAGTGCCAAAGCTCAACTAGGTGAGTACACACACAGTTAAATCACTATGTAGTTCCTATGCTAGAATATCCATCTGATCAGAAATGGGAGAGCTCTCAGACTCTTGGAAAACTGCTCCAGCAGTGCTAGTATGGACAAGGAAGAGTGGCTAAGTCACTGACCAAGATCATTAACAAGCATCACATGCAAGTTACTAGAGAGAGACTGACCCGAAACTACCTCACTTCAAACTAATATCTTCTCCAAACCCCAGCATGGATTCGGGGAAGGAAACTCTTACTTCACCAGCATAGCAAAAACATTATGTGAGAAAGTGACCAACGTCCAGAGTGCCTTCTGGCGAACATGCTTTACGAACACGGTACTCGACCGTCTTGAGACGATCTCCTCGTCGGTTACCTCACGGCTCACGATCTCCTTGACGGAGTTGTTGCCAGGGGCGACGACACCAAATATGAGATATTTCGCCAAAGCTTTCCGCTTCATAAGACACGCCCGGCGTCTGAACACACTTTAAGGGGAGATTCCAACCCCATTCATTACTCCCCGAAACCGGTCAGCCGAAATGCAGCAGGTCGTCCGACCGTCGTCGTCCCTAAACCACCAACACCACTACTCTTGGGTTTCTGCCTGAGACTCGCACCTGAAAACCACTAAACAAAAGAACAAGGTTCCTATTTTATGCAACAAGACTAGAGCCTGTAGTGAGGGGAGCGAGATATGAGGAAAGATTCGGGAGACTAGACCTCGCCACAATGGAGGAGAGAAGGAATAAGGGGGAACATGAAAACGACCTATTGCATTTTAAAAAGAAATAACTAAGCACAGAAGCAACGCTCATAGATAAGAGCAGAAGGCGGCTGCAGAGATGACAGATACAGTCGAGTTAGAAAAGATATCGGCGAAAATTTTAGTGAAATAGTCATAAATAAATGGAATTAAGTGATGAAGTGGCGAAGAGTAACTTGGTACACACAGCTAGATTACATTTGGGACAAAATAAGAGAACAATGTCATTACACAGAACCGCTAAAATGATTTGAAAAAAAAACGAGGCCAAGAGCTAACGCTCAACCTTACAAGCACATTTAGGCGAGTATACTGACATTCCCCCACCCTTTCCACCCTCCCTCTCACACACACACACACACACACACACACACACACACACACACACACACACACACACACACACACACACACACACACACACACACAGGTGGGACCAAAGAGCCAGAGCTCAACCCCCCGCAAGCACAACTAGATAAGTACACACACACACACAAATTACCTAGGGAGGTGCTCAAGTTTAAATACAAGTAAAGGCAACATTATTGAATATTTGGTCCATAATTCATATAGTTGTAAATATATTACAACATCAATATAGAGTAAAGAGATATATGTATAGAAATATTAATTTGAAACTCACAACAACAATAAATTGCCCCCAGAAACATCAAAAATAAACAAAAACAGAAAACGGGCAACATTAAAAATATCTTTATGTGGTAATTGGACTAGTTTCTGAAGTATTATTTATATAATGTATGGTATATGTACATAGCTCATATATATATATATATATATATATATATATATATATATATATATATATATATATATATATATATATATATATATATATATATATATATATGGGAAAGTAATTTAAACTAGCCTACAGTGTATGAAGTGATGAAACGGGAATATGTATAGAAGGAAAGTATATACGAGGTGGTGGTGGAACAAAGTGTACCGAGGTATACAGTAAATATTTCATGATCACTCTTCAGCCTGTGATACTACAAGTACATAATAAACTCCAAAATATATTTTTCCAACATAGCCGTATACACTAGTTCTAAAATAATCCCCCAGCGCAGCCTCGAAGTACACACACACGAGAGCGTAAGTATTTTTCAGTGTCGATGTCGACGATATTACCCTACATACTCGACACTGGTACTCGCTCGACATGCGAAGTATTACCCAGGTGGATGGTAGGGCTCGACTGGTTAATACTATCTGCTCAGCTGGTTAGGAAGAATGCCAGCTGCGTATTAGTGACATTTTCTCCTGAAATGTGTATTGAATTTGGAGATGTGAGGGGGTGGAGGGCGGGTAAGGACTGTGAAGGCCCAATCAAGGGAAGAAAGATATTTGTAGGTGCCTTCAAGAGAGACCGAGTATTAAGAAGCGCCTACAATAAGGGACTGAGTATCAGGAGAAGCCTCCGGGATGGACCAGGTGTCAGGAGGAGCCACCAGGAGGTCCCAGGTAACGGAAGGCGCTAGAAGGAGAAGAGGTGATGATGAGAGGCTCTGGAAGAGGGTCGGGTCTCGGGGGAAGTGGCAACCCTAGACTGTGGGAAAGGGTAACCGGAATTCAGGGCCATTTCTTTATATTAAAACGTAAATGAACAAGCATGTACAAATAGTTATAGTATCACAGATGAATGTCAGAGATGACAGTTATTCACACAGACAAATGCTAGTCCATAATAGTTGATGATCACGTCCCGGCCACGTTTATCTTGGCGACACTGAGGCGGCCTTGACGTCAAAATAAGAAGCAATTCTCTTTATGACATTTCGAATGTCTTTCGTTGAGATGTTTCTTCATCTCTTGCAGTTTCCGGTTACTCTAACGCTAAGTATTAAGACAAGGTGTTGTGGGCAAAGTATTTAGAGCCAGCGGCTTGCTCTACGCCTCTCGTCTCCCTTCCCACTCAGTATGAGCAAAGGAACCCGAAGCTTTGATCGCGAATTAAGTTCGAATGTTCGTCTTGATATAAACCTACAAGGTACAGATAGGTAGTACATAGAAATGACAGAGGAGTTCTGTAGAGTTCTTTTGCTTGTATACTTGTGTAGTGTCACAAAATTTCCACTACTGGGGAGAGGGTAGGTGTGGGCAGGGTTGGGGGTAGCTGATCGACTGAGGGAGATTGTTGGGATTGAAGGAGAAGGTTGAGAGAGAGTTCGGGTGGGATTGAAGAAGCGGGTAAGGATGAGACAAGACTTTATCCTTGTCCAGCATTACGCCCCGATGATCTTCTTGACAGTGAAGCCCGGCACGGAGTAGAAGAAGAGGACGAAGAAGATGGTGAGAGCGAAGAAGACGAGGAGCTTGATGATGGCCCACTTGTAGTTGTGCCAGATGATGTACCTGATGCTCTTCAGAGGGTTGAGGAACCACATAAAGGAAGCATCCGGCCGGCTGCGGAGAACAAGACGGCCCACATTAGAATTAGCGTACAAGTATCACGTTTAATCGTGCGTATCTGTGTATCTGTTCGGTCCAGCTGTATCATACTATTGATGGTAGCAAAAGTGGCTTGTCTCACAGACGAGTTAAAGTAGGATAATGAAAGAAGTTGCCTTGTATGGGCCAAGATTCTCTTAGCTGTGGCTGTTATTCTTATCTTCTGATTAACTCTATATCAGTGCGTTTAGTTAACTCTCAAGTGGTTTACTTATCTGGTCACACGTCTGCTATCCCTTATAGTCAGCTGGGAGATATGCTGGGTGATCAGTTTACCAGACTGCCCTAACTATACGGCCTATCACAATCTAGGCGTCAACTTGCACTGTATAGGTGTGGCAAGCTGTATGGTTGGAGCTTGCCACTACTGGGATAGGCTAGGTTAGACTAGGTTAGGTTATGTTACGTTAAGGTAGGGTATATTGGGTCACGCTGGGATAGGTTGGGTCAGGCTGGGATAGGTTAGGAAAGGTCAGGTCACCAGAACTCAGACCCAGGCAATGAACTAACGTAGGATATAGCTGATACTGGACAACTGATATAGAATGACAGCTGAAAGATAACAGCTGATATAATATAGATTTATTTATTTGATTTAGTTCATAAGAGAATATTCATGAACAATCTGTTAAGTGAAGAGAGAGAAATGGCGGCTGGATAGTTATACTGACAAATAGAGAACTATATTGGGGCATTGAGAGACGACGATATTACTTGATCCTCCCCCCCCCCTCTCTCTCTCCCCCATCCCTTCTCCCTACCTCTCACTTGGGCTGCTCCATCTTTGTCCCTCCTCCCCAGTATTCACCCCAGGTTTCTCCAGCTCCTCCCCTTCCTTCCCATCTCTCACCTGGACTTTTCCAACCATCGCCCTATTTCCCAACATTTAGCATGTTAGGCTTCCCTACCCCCCTCGCCTCCTACTTCTTACCCCCATTCACATGAGCTTCCTTAACTCCTTCCTTCCTCCTCACCTATAACTGGTCTCTCCATCTTCCCTCCCTCCCTCTTACCAGAACTCTCCCCCACCAACCTTCCTCCTTTCTCACTACGCCCTCACTCCCACTACCGTAAACTCACCTGGGCTTCTCCAGGGGGTCTGGCTCGTTCCTTCCAAGTCCCGCGGGGTTTTTCTCAGCCTCGTCCTTGGTCAGGAGGTGAATCTCGGCCTCTACCTTCCCCTGTGAGGGCGACACATACATCTTCACATCATCCTCAAGGACATATCGTCCTCTGCAAGCCGCATACGGCATTGCTATTTTACAAGTATTTTTAATGCAATTATTGAAAGCTAATTTTTTAGGTGGTTTTGTAGGGGAAAAAAACACATGATTATGTCCATGTAAATAGTTCATATTTGGTTGGCTGTGATCTAGTTCATATAAGGTCACGGGTCCTCACCGTGAGCTCCATCTCCTCGTTCTCCCGCTTGATGTAGAAGGGCCACCAGCCCTTGACCCGGCGCTGCTTGAAGATGTTGACCATTGGCACGGTGCCGTCCGTCTTCAGCATGTCAAGGGTGCACATCTTGGAGTTCTTGGCACCCCGCGGGAAGCGGTTCAGATCCAGGGTGATGGCACCCAGGAAGTCGTCAGCTGAGAAGTGATCCGCGTCCCACACCTGAGGGGGGGGGTGGGTTAGAGGGAGAGGACTAGAATTAAGAACAAGACTTACAGAGAGGGTTGTTTGTAGTGATTTCTTCGGTTCCACGTGGTCTATCATATTTTTTTTCTCTCTCTCTCTCTCTCTCTCTCTCTCTCTCTCTCTCTCTCTCTCTCTCTCTCTCTCTCTCTCTCTCTCTCTCTCTCTCTCTCTCTCTCTCTCTCTCTCTCCCTCCATATTTGCCTCAACCACAGCTCATTTTTTTCTAAGGTGTTTCTCACCCTCCTTCACCGCTGATCTCACCCCACTCTCGTTGCTAACACCATTCGTTCCACCATCTTTTCCCCTTCCCAAATCATTCCACTCAGCAAATTGTTTTGTGCTCCATAATCATATTAACCTCTTGTCCCAAGTTTCCCTCTCCTTCCCCTCCCACTCCCACTCCTCCCGCACCCGATTGGTGATTAATAGCTTAAACTCCCCCCCCCAAAAGGTGGCACGGGCATGAATAGCCCGTAAGTCCTACACCCCCTTTCTCCTCCTCCTTTCTCCTCCTCCTTTCAACCTGTCCCTCTACCACCCTCTTCCTCCCCTCACCTGGAGCTCGAGTCGGGCTGGGATCTTGCACTCGGTCTCGTCCCAGGAGAAGAGCGATTCCTTGCGACTGATGACGATCTTCTCCTCGGCCACCAGGTATTCGAAGGGGAAGACGAACCTCCAGTTGAAGTTTCCCTCGCCGGTAAGGGAGCGGTAGTGGATGTCTGTGCACTGGGTGTCCTCGGGGCCCTTCAGCCATCTGCGGGAGGCACAGGAGGGCAGGTGTGAGTGAGGGAAGGTGTCCTGGCTGTGAGAAACATTAAGGAATGTTATGCTAGCTGGTGGGTCAAATACAACGGGAATCAGCAGTCGAACTTGAGTGTGGAACTTGACTGTGTCACGGCATTAGATCCGACATAGTAGGCATCCATCAGTCTGAGGAGACTATGGAGTTGCGCTCTGGTTGTCGGTCTGGAGTGGCCTCACTAGGGCGCAAAGCCAGGGTAGGTTGATTCGGGGGAGAAGCTGTTACCCAGGCAGCAGGGTAACATACATAATATAACATAACATACACAACATAGATCCGACATACATTGCCGGTATATGACGTACCAGAGTCTGCGATGTGACATTTACGACCGGAAGGCGACTAGAGATATACCTTGAAACACGCTACTGTTCCCCCGACAACGAGCAGGACCTCGAGATACGGAGCCCACTCACCCCTTGACGTAGATGTCGGACATCTTCTCTCCGGTGAAGAAGGCGTCGTCCTCGAGGACCACGTCGTCAGTGTTCCAGATGATGATCCGCAGCTCGTAGCTCTTGGGCTTTCTAGGCGTCACATCCAGTGGAGGTCCAGGTAGAGGCATGTCCATAGGAAACATGTCCACCCACATCTCAACTTTTCCCTGCAGTCACATACAACGTGAGACTCCAGAAAGCAAGTTTTTTTTTATTTGCATTAATCAATTTATACTAATTTCATCAGAAACGCAAGCAGAGAGAGTCACAGTTTAGTGGTTCAAATCAATAACCTAACCCACACTTAAATGAAATTGACGTTTCTGCCCTTATCAAATATTGGGAAAGTTCACGACTTGATAAGGGCCTAAACTGACGTTTCGGTTTAGGATGGACCAAAGCCGCGTCAATTCAGGCCAGATAGCTTCTCCCAACCACTCCTAGCCAGCCAGCTAGCCAGCTATCAGCTGGTCTAATTCCCCCTGGGTTGCTCTCCTGCGTGGCGTTAGGGGCAGTGTTCTCACCTGTTCAATGCCTGGCTTGTCTGGGTTGTAGAGGGGTCTGGTTTCGATGTGTTCGGGCACTAGGCGGGCTCCCACCCTTGGCACCTCCTCCCAGCGGTGTAGCACTGCTAGGGCCAGCTGCTCCTCGCTCACTGTCATGCAGTGCCATAGTGTATGTGGGAGAAAGAGTGTAAATGACAGTACGTGGGAGGACATATGATAGGAAACTCTTAGACAACACAGAAGTATTGGTAAAATATAGGTTCACAGTCTAAGTGTAGAATGAAAGAGTTGAACTATGCGTTTTGACGATAAATATTGCTCTGTGTTTAATTTAAACCAATGAGGAATTACATTTATATATCTTAATTAAATCTGTCATGAGGTTCGTAGAATCAGTAAGATGAAAGCTTCCTGCTGCATATACGTAAAATACGATTAACAGGTACCATCATCAGGGACACTCATGGCCAATCAGGGTAAATCTGATGGTCGGGTCTCATACCACTACTAGTCGCGCACCCATCTTGAGGTTATCTTGAGATGATTTCGGGGCTTTAGTGTCCCCGCGGCCCGGTCCTCGACCAGGCCTCTACCCCCAGGAAGCAGCTCGTGACAGCTGACTAACACCCAGGTACCTATTTTACTGCTAGGTAACAGAGGCATAGGGTGAAAGAAACTCTGCCCATTGTTTCTCGCCGGCGCCTGGGATCGAACCCAGGACTACAGGATCACAAGTCCAGCGTGCTGTCCGCTCGGCCGACCGGCTCCCTGTCACCTCTTGTTCTTCTTCGAGCAAGAATATTCTACCAAACTACCAAACTGTCCCAATCTATACAAACTATCTGTAGACAGTTCTGCAAGCCTTGGACTTCCTGAATTTCGTCTTGACGGACAATATTCCCTCGTTTATACCATTGTCCAGAAAATGCGAGACTTGGTCTTCCGACCGTGTGAATAGAACAAATCTGAACAATTCTGTTGGATCCCAGCCAATGTTGGCACTCTAGAGAATGAAGTAGCAGATATAGCAGCAAAAGTGGCCATCCACTTCGAATGAAGGCATTCTGATTTGACTTTTATAGAAGACTTAAGATGACCCCCACAACTGAATGCAACAGCTGTGGGTCATCTTAAGTCTGGCAGGGCAGATTGAACCTGTTGACAACTAGCAACTAATCAAACCTTCGGATTTCCCGTGTCAATATTCTCGAGATTGGGAAGTGACTATATGGGGTATGACTCAAAGCTCTGCAGTTGCTATGGTACTGCCGCCCTGGAATGTAAAGTGCGCCGCTTCCTGCTCTCCGTTGGGCACGCCATGGTATATTGCCCAAAGTGTTCAGGTGGGAGGAGTAGAGTGAGGCTTCAGGATAATTGTATTGAAGAACCTCTCTTGTGAGATCATCTTTATCCAATGAAATTTATGAAGGATACAAATTTTCTATATAATCCGTACACACTACCCATTTGTCAATTTCATCTATTACTCACGGTTCCAGCGTTAGGCCCAAGACCTAAATCAATCTATATATCCAACTATTCTCCCAGGAAAAACTAACAAGAACCACCCACCCCAGACCCGCCCAGTACAGGTGTCCCCGTGAACCACTCACCCCAGACCCGCCCAGTACTGGTGTCCCAGAGAACCACTCACCCCAGACCCGCTCAGTACTGGTGTCCCCGTGAACCACTCACCCCAGACCCGCCCAGTACAGGTGTCCCAGAGAACCACTCCACCCCAGACCCGCTCAGTACAGGTGTCCCAGAGAACCACTCACCCCAGACCCGCTCAGTACAGGTGTCCCCGAGAACCACTCACCCCAGACCCGCTCAGTACAGGTGTCCCAGAGAACCACTCACCCCAGACCCGCTCAGTACTGGTGTCCCCGTGAACCACCCACCCCAGACCCGCCCAGTACAGGTGTCCCCGTGAACCACTCACCCCAGACCCGCCCAGTACTGGTGTCCCAGAGAACCACTCACCCCAGACCCGCCCAGTACAGGTGTCCCCGTGAACCACTCACCCCAGACCCGCTCAGTACAGGTGTCCCAGAGAACCCCTCACCCAGACCCGCTCAGTACTGGTGTCCCCGTGAACCACTCACCCCAGACCCGCCCAGTACAGGTGTCCCAGAGAACCACTCACCCCAGACCCGCTCAGTACAGGTGTCCCAGAGAACCACTCACCCCAGACCCGCCCAGTACAGGTGTCCCAGAGAACCACTCACCCCAGACCCGCCCAGTACAGGTGTCCCAGAGAACCACTCACCCCAGACCCGCTCAGTACAGGTGTCCCAGAGAACCACTCACCCCAGACCCGCCCAGTACAGGTGTCCCCGTGAACCACTCACCCCAGACTAGCCCAGTACAGGTGTCCCAGAGAACAACTCGCCCAGACCCGCCCAGTACAGGTGTCCCCGTGAACCACTCACCCCAGACTAGCCCAGTACAGGTGTCCCAGAGAACCACTCACCCCAGACGCGCTCAGTACAGGTGTCCCAGAGAACCACTCGCCCCAGACCCGCTCAGTACTGGTGTCCCAGAGAACCACTCACCCCAGACCCGCTCAGTACTGGTGTCCCAGAGAACCACTCACCCCAGACCCGCTCAGTACTGGTGTCCCAGAGAACCACTCACCCCAGACCCGCTCAGTACTGGTGTCCCCGTGAACCACTCACCCCAGACTAGCCCAGTACAGGTGTCCCAGAGAACAACTCGCCCAGACCCGCCCAGTACAGGTGTCCCCGTGAACCACTCGCCCCAGACCCGCCCAGTACAGGTGGCCCAGAGAACCACTCACCCCGGACTAGCCCAGTACAGGTGTCCCAGAGAACCACTCACCCCAGGCCTGCCCAGTACAGGTGTCCCAGAGAACCACTCACCCCAGACCCGCCCAGTACAGGTGTCCCAGAGAACCACTCACCCAGAAATCTGCCTCTGTTGGGGTCGTGTTCGTCGTCGTTCTGGACGGTGAAGGTGCGGTTAGCGACCCTCACCTTGCAGGGGCCGTAGTGGGGTCCGTCGAGTCTACCCTCCTTGCAGAGCCGTGCCAGCACCTGCGTCGGCTTCATGGGGTCCCGCCACTGGTTGTAACCAGTCCTGTGGGCGTGGTAAGGCGGGTAAGGCGAGGGAGGGTTTGAGGGCAGGACGGACGGGGTGCAGGAGTGACGAGGCCATGACATGGTGGTGGGGAAGAGAGATTTATAAGGGCAAAATGGTAGAAAGTTTCAATTTAGAACAAGATACATGTTCAGAAAAGTCACAATAACGTGGCTGAAAGCAATCCAAATGTGGCTATGGTTTTGAATATGTACAAAGGTTTAAGTTGACCTGACAATGCAATTATTGATGATTTTTTTTGTTAATTTTCATATTTTATACAGAAGTTGCCCCTCAGGAAGTGCTTAACATTTCTAAGAAGTTGCTGAGCTGTAAACAAAATTTCTGGTACATTGAAGACTCGAACCAAGCTATATGTTCGCCGTGTTGATAGAATCACCGTTATGATGAATATTGTATCAGTAATACGAGTCATAGAACATTTAAAAAAACAAATTCTAACGATAACATTTATTTTAATTTTTGACATATATTTAACTTTACAAACTGTTGTTTTGGGCTTAGACAGGCTGTTTGCGAGTCCACTTTGACTATGTGTGCGAGTTTGTTCGTCCTGTGGGGAAACTCCACAGCTTCCTTCCCTGCCACTTTCCCTGCGTCTATGTTCTATCTTATTCCTCATCATTTCCTTCGACCCAGCACAATTTGATGTCTTCAAACCTGCTTTTTTCACCCCGTCCTTCCTCGCGACCTTTATTTCTGTATCTGCGCCTTTCCCGCCTTCGTTACAATGTCCCATTCCACTCGTTTCGTGCTTCCCGACCTCTCCTTCCCGCCTCACTATCCTCGTCCTGTCTCACTAGCCCCGTCCCGCCTCACTAACCCCTCTAACTACCCCACAAACCCCCCCCCACTCACGCACGGAGACATCTCCCGTCACGCAGGGTGCAGTTGCACCTCCACAGATCTCCAGTATCAATTGATACTGGTGATGGCTCAAAAGGGCCACCACTTACGAGCTATTCATGCCCGTGCCACCTTTCGGGTGGCTTAATCTTCATCAATCAATCAATCATCCCACTCACGTCTCGTATCTCGTGGCGAGGCCGCAGGTGGCGCGGTGTCTGGAGTAGAAGCGGTTCTCAAGGTCGATCTTAGTCTCTCCGATCATGTCGTCCGAGCCCACCAGGTCCCAGTCGAGCACCTGCACCGTCAGCATGGAGTCCTGAGGGAAGGTCGCCTCCACCTCGAAGCACCTTGAGTAGGGAGAAAAGAAAGAGGTAAGATTCCAGTAGAAAAGAGCAGATGAAGAGGTAACCCATCGGATTTCCCAATATTTTTTCAAAGAAACACTACAGCTTGTATTAACATGATTAATTTTAACACGAAGGCGAGACATGTGCTTCAGAAAACTAGAAATATCGGCACACGGAGAAAGAGGAGATAACATATCGCTACGTATCTTTAGGTATCTTTATCTTTAGGTATCTTACGTATCTTTAGGTATCAAGAAGTATCTTTACTCTCTCTCTCTCTCAGCGATCAAAAAACATTGGGATGAAACGTGTTGCGTTTACGGGAGCCTTTTCCCTCACCTTTATGGGGGCGCTATCTAGTCTGTTCACTCCTCAGTGGTGCCATCCTGAAGTCTCTCAAACACTCACACAGTGATAAAGTACGAATTGTTGCGTATTGAAAAGATTTATATCAAGCACCCCCCCCCCCCTAACCATTACAACAATACCCAACCTTATATAACACAACCCAGCCCTACATAACACAACCCAACCCTACAAAACCCTAACACAACACTACCCAACCCTACAACACCCTAACACAACACTACCCAACCCTACAACACCCTACATTATACATACTTGCCAAAGACGGGATTGAGCTGCTTGGAGATGTAGTTCTCCTTGTCCGACACCTTCTTGCCCCCAAGCTGTACCACGATGTAAGGGTCGGCTTTCCCATTGAGGTCCATGGGATGGAGGTCGCAGGCACGGACCACGTACACCCGCACCAGCACGTGGATGGGATCGTTAGAGGGGAGACCCTGGTAGAGGGAGGGGAGGAAAGCGAGATAAACTTGTGAGGGAAGGAACATGTCTCTGCTGGGTGAGGTAGGGAGAGGTCTAGGCACCTCGCGCGACTATCAAAAGCTTACCGTGTTGGGAGGGAGGAACGGGTTCTGCCAGGGCCAGATTCACGAAAGCACTTACGCAAGCACTTACGAACCTGTACATATTTTCTCAATCTTTGGCGGCTTTGTTTACAATCATTAAACAGTTAATGAGCTGCGAAGCACCAGGAGGCTGTTTATAACAATAACAACAGTTGAATGGGAAGTTTTCATGCTTGTAAACTGTTTAATAAATGTAACCAAAGCCGTCAAAGATTGAGGAAAGATGTATACATTCGTATGTACTTGCGTAACTGCTTTCGTGAATCTGGTCCCTGGGGTGGGGAAGATTAGTTGATTGGTTTAAACTATATTTTCAATGCAGTTATAAAATGCAGCGTCTATATTTAAAATTGTTACTTGGGGAAAAAAATATCTTGCATTCAGATTTTTTGTTTATCTCAAACTCGCAAACTATTTCAAAATAGTTAAAAAAATACTTTTGTCTATCATTCTATTTGGGGGGAAAAGCTATGTGGTCAACTTTAACTATTCGTTTTAAACTGGTGAATGTTAAGACACTATTTCCTGGAGTTGAGGACAACCTCATGCATAAAACTATGACAAATAATATAGTAAAAAGCAAAAGTGACTGTTTTCCTGGGAGAAGAAAATGTGATAAAGGAGCGAAGAGGCGAGAAATGTGTTTACTTTGTCTTCTGTGATCAGCTGCTGCTTTTGTCTTCTGTGATCAGCTGCTGCTTTTGTCTTCTGTGATCAGCTGCTGCTTTTGTCTTCAGTGATCAGCTGCTGCTTTTGTCTTCAGTGATCAGCTGCTGTTGTTGCTTTTGTCTTCAGTGATCAGCTGCTGCTGTTGCTTTGTCTTCAGTGATCAGCTGCTGTTGTTGCTTTTGTCTTCAGTGATCAGCTGCTGTTGTTGCTTTTGTCTTCAGTGATCAGCTGCTGCTGTTGCTTTTGTCTTCAGTGATCAGCTGCTGCAGTTGCTTTTGTCTTCAGTGATCAGCTGCTGCTGTTGCTTTGTCTTCAGTGATCAGCTGCTGTTGTTGTTGTTAAGGTCTGATATATATAGGCTCGAATCTGTGCAACATATGAAGTAATATTTCCTTCAATGTGACTCAAAGCAAATGCTTTTATGATTCATCTTTCCTTTCGCTGTTTTGCACTGGTGTTGGAGGAAAAAATTATATACCGATAGACCCAAGGAAGATAAAAAGTGTAGCTTATTTTTGCCGTGTTAGAATGAGCTGGAACACAAAGCTGTAGCCAAGAGAACCCCAAATTTCCTGGCTGACTGGAACTGGTTTAGGTGGACAGAGGGGTCGTAATACTGTGGCTGAGGGGAAATCATGTTAAACACTATGTTAAGATTGGAAGAGCTTAGGTACACGAGTGAAGATCTGTAGAGCAGTGTGCTACAACAAAGAAAACAGGAAATAAACATAGAAAACGTAATTAAAAAATCAATAGTTTTTTGGGAGGCAAACTTAAGTTTATTAGAACTTTTAGCTGTCAGTTGTAGGACACCTAATAACTGATTATTTAACAGGTTTTGCTATAATGTGAACCTGGCAACTAGATTCATGCAAGCTATTGAATTTGTTTAGCTTAAACATATGCGTTAAAGCCATCATGGGTGACTTTAATAATGAAATTCCCTCTCACTTGCATGGTCTCTATGGAAACACAACAAGAAAGGGGAAATTGGGCAATCAGGGTAAATCAGATCTATCAAGAACACCAAAGTTAGAAAAGCAGCGAGTCTATATAACACTGCCTCATAGCAGCCATAAGACACATGCAGCTACACTTATTTGGTTTAACACACACACACACACACACACACACACACACACACACACACACACACACACACACACACACACACACACACACACACACACACAGTTGAAAGGCGGGACCAAAGAGCCAAAGCTCAACCCCCGCAAGCACAACTAGGTGAGTACAACTGAGTATACACACACACAGGCAGGTGTCAGTCTACCAGCAGTCTACCACGCACATTGAATCAAATCTACGGTATTCTACCTACACATCTACATTACCTCCATAGAGTCAACGAACAGAGAAATATCCTGGTTAGTAAGCAATAGCAAACATTATAATTACAATTTGATATAGGAAATAGGTACATTTAGTGGCTAATGATTTACCAAGCAGCAGACAGTATACATATATTGTGATGGAGGCAGAGAGAGAGAGAGATGAAGACAGATCAGGAAGCTGATGGAGTATGGAACAGAGAGCCGAGACCGAAGCCTCAGGCGGCTGCACACGGAGACAGGTAGGACAGGAGCTTAGGGCCAGGGAGAACAGAGGGTCAGGTCACTATATCCTTGTGGAAAGGGCTAGAGGAGGGCGAGTTAAGGGTGAAGGGTGAGAGAAGGGCGACTTAATGGTGAAAGATTGAGGATAGAGAGAGAGGGGCTCACAACGTGTTGAGATGCCAATGAGTCGAGGAATGTAATCAGTTATCCTCTGTCTCTTGTCTTTAATTGTAAACTAGCGTTTAAGAAATCGAAGAAAAGACAAAGACGATGACCTTAAAGAGGCTGGGAGCTTCTGTATACAAACACTATATAAACACGGTCGACATCTCCTCATGTGTGTCTGTGAGGAAGTAGGCTGAGAGGGCGATGGAGAGGGTTGAGCACTATCTAGCGAGCCACGAGTAGGGGGCAGGGCTCCCAAGGACACTGGTACAGGCACCCCCACACACGCGTACACCCCCCCCACACCACCCACAAACACATACACCCCCCCACATCACCCACAAACACATACACCCCCCCACACCACCCACAAACACATACATCCCCCCCACACCACCCACAAACACATACACCCCCCCACACCACCCACAAACACATACACCCCCCCCCCACACCACTCACCTCCCACACACACACTAGGGACAGTTCACCAGTTTCGCTATCCAGACACAGTCCTTCCTCTCATGTGCATCCATATACCCTCTCATAATGCTTGACTCGGACTCGGAAACGATCATTACACACGTGATGCACGCGCCCACATGCAGGTCTTGCAACATGACCTCACTGCCACGTGCACACATTTTCCCCCTTTCATTCACACCTACACCCTCCCCACAACACGCACCCTGATATATCTTACCACAAGCTCACATTTGTGTGATCTCACCCAGCCTCCCCCACCAAAAACATCAACACGCAGGTCCACACACCCACTACAAGCAACCATATATATGATAAACAGGTCCCTGATCCCTATCCCCACCACAAGCACTCACACACACACACACGCAGATTCCCCCACAAGCACCCACACATACACACACACACACACACACACACACACACACACACACACACACACACACACACACACACACACACACACACACACACACACACATGTTCCCGCATCACACGCACCCACACACACACACACAGGTCCCCCCCCCCTCCCCCAAGCACACTACTCTACTGGCCAGTGGCCAGAAGCCGATACATCACAACAAAGCAGTAAACATCCGGGTCCTTTAAAAACTGGTCAAGTGTATTCCTAGACACTCTGATTAACCTGCGATTCCATGAGCAGCTTAGGTGCCTCGAATGTGCATGGAACAGACACCAGAAGAAAGGTTATTAAAACATAGCAGCAGAGAGTTGTAGAGGCGTCGTAGAACAGATGATAAACACAAGAGACACCTGATCAGCCTCTCTACTTCTAGAGCGGCACATGTCCACAGTTGTACACAGATAAGCCACGCGTCCCACCAAGACTGCAACTTTATTTTAAAACATGTGTATATATATATTTTTAAACGACTGAGTATGTGGAAATTATATTCATTCTGAGCGAGATTGATGGCTTATCTTCCCCCGAGATGACTCGCTTCATCAAGTGTGTGCTTCGGGGTCTCTGAACACTACTGATTGAGAAGAGAAATATTGAGCTTTTAATTCTGAGGGTTAGAATACAGTATCTTAAACTTGTGTCCCTAACTACTCGTGGCTTAACAGGCGAGCGACGTACCTGGAAGAACCCGTACTGGGGGTCACCGCCGGTGATGGTGGTGTCGTCGATATCCTTCGGCAGGGGCCAACGGTACAGCTTCAGCGACCCCTATAAGAGAAGCAAAATAACTAGGCCAGAGAGGGGCATTGGTATGATTCTTGGAGTTATGTGTTGCGGCCAGTGGTGGAGAGACAGGCCTCGAACTCCAGCATTGGTGCTTGTTGTGTGGAGAAAATGTTGAGCTCCTTCAATAGGAGAGGGAGGGAGGGAGAGGAGAGACATAATTGTTTATGCAAGACGTTCCCACGTTCTCATTAAACTTACATACGGTTTACCATACTTCTAAGTTTTTTAAACACAGGTGTGTACAATAACAGACGACTGGTAACTCATGATAAACCATCATACATGACAATGACTATCTTAAAACCTACCCTGGGTTAACCTAAGACTTGCCAAAACCAGCCCAACAAATGGCTTTACCCCTGACGAAAACCTGCCCGATACCAAGACTACTAACATTTCTCCTCTCACCACCTACCTTAAACTTGCCAACAACCCGGCCTTCGTCTTCGAGTTCATCTCCCGTTTTCTTTCCCCTGTACAGCTCGAAGGTGTGCAGCCACTCTCGGAACCCGTTGAACTCTGTCTCCAGTTCGCCCGGGATCACCTGCAGGAGGCGGTGAAACACACACACACATTAGGGGTCACAGTTAACCTGTCTTAGGTCATTCAATGCAATGGTGGGTCATAGTTGCCGCTTATCAACGAGGGTCTTTCACGGTCATAAGTTGGACAAAGCCCATGTTTTGGTAGGTCAAGGCAGGCCATAACGGATCTAATAAATTCATGTTATGGTTTTGGGAATCACGGCAAATCGGGAGAGAATTTGCTACTTATTGAAAATCATGTCATTTACTGGACGGTAAGGTCATGTAGGTGACATGTAGGGTTGTAGGAAGGAAGAAAGACACATTGTAGGTTAATGAAGAAAGAGCTCGTTACTTTGTGGGAATGGCTGAGGATTAATATGATAAACAAATGTGACGATGTTTTGGACCTTTGTAGACCCCTCAGAGACTTCGAAGAGGGTTTGGGAAGGGCCGAAACGCCGCCATGTGTCGGGGTTGGGTAATCTGTGTACTGTAGTTCACAGCACATCGTGGTAGTTCACTCAATGTGGCAAAGCAGTTTGACTTCGATGATGGCCATGTTGCCTTTATCTCTCGTCAGTAGACATGGGTTACCGCCATCTACCATACCTTGAATCACTGTCACCTACCTCACCGTGACACACGGGGTGCTGCCATGTATCATACCGTGACACATGGGGTACTGTCAATCACTGTACCGTGACACATGGGGTAACTCGTCTACCATACGAGAAGGTGAAGGTCAAGCTGGGTCATCTCAGATCGAGAGGCCACGAGTGGTAGACTAACCTTGAGAACGGCAATGTTAGCCTTCCGTTTCCTTCGCTGGGTCTTTGGACTGAGTTTAGCCGCCAGCTTGGCCGCCGTCGACGTTCCCTTGAAGGTGCTGTGCTTCTTCCTTTCCGCCGTCGCTTCCCGCTGCCCTTCCTGCGTCTGCGTCTGCTCTCCGTCGGCATTCTCCCCCCGCTCCCTGGCGTTCCGGTCTTCTTGCTGTTGCTGGAGGGCGAAGGAATGGAGAAAGGTAAGGTTGAGAGACAGGGGAGGAGGGATGAGGTTCTGTGTTGTGGTCTTCGTGCTAATACTTGGAATACTTGGCAAGATGGAACAAAAAGGAGTGTTGGGAAGGAGGAGGTGACTGGGGGATGCTCGCAGCATCAGGAGGGAGGGAGGGAGAGACAATGCTCTCTTTCTCAAACTTCCTTTGCTGTCTTGTCTTCCAATTAACGCTATCCAGGAGGAGGAGGAGGGTGAGGGAGGGAGGGGGAGAATGGTGGCAGGGGATCGGAGGTGGTAGGATGAGTGGGCTTGAAGTGGAAAGAGAAAATGGATTTGAAGAGTAAGAAATGGAAAACATTCTATGAGAAAAATATGAGGTTTCGTATTTTTATTATCGCGATAAAGTTCTCTGAGGATGTCTGACTCCAGCGTCTTACTCTGTGTACTTCCCTAGTTGTACTTGTGAGGGTTGAGCTCTGGCTCTTTGTGCCCGCCTCTCAACTGTCAATCAGCTGATTTGAAACACACACACACACGCACACGCACGCACGCACGCACGCACACACACACACACACACACACACACACACACACACACACACACACACACACACACACACACACACACACACACACACACACTGGGCGCTGGTGGCTGAGTGGACAGCACGCTGGATACGTAGTCTTGTGGTACGGGGTTCGATTCCCGGCCCTTTCCCCTGATAATTTGCTTCCCTTCCCTTCATGAATTGTACATACCAGACTAGATTCACGTCGCAGCATTACACAGGAGATGAGTACATCTACTGCCATACAACTGAGTACGTGGTGAGCACGTAGGTGAGAAACAACCAAGACCACGTACCGTGTGAGGCGAGAGGAGCACCCGTGGAGCTCACACAGGGCACCAAACCCACGTGCCACGAGCATTAACACTGCTCCACACACACCAGGTGCGGTATGTTGTTTATGCCGCACGTAAAGTCTTTGGATGCTCTTTCGGGGAGAGGGTAGGGTAGAGAGAGAGGGGGGGGGGTGGGAGGAGGAGAGGTGGGGGAAAGGTAAGGGAATTATCAAGGGAAAAGCGCCAAGCCATTACGACTATATAGCACTTGGAAAGGGTCAGGATAGGGATTTGGGATGGGACTGGGGGGAGGAGGAAGGAATGATGCCCAACCACTTGGACGGTCGGGGATTGAACGCCAACCTGCATGAAGCGAGACCGTCGCTCTACCGTCCAGTTCAAGTGGTTGGAGAGGGGAGGTAGGAGGAGAGGTGGGGGTAGGAGGAGAATAGGGGATAGGAGGAAAGGTGGGGGTAGGAGGAGAGGGGAGGAAAGAGGCGTGTTTAATATTAGAAGAGGTTCATAAAATAGAAGACAAACGCCATCAGTGGTGTCCAAGAAATGTGTACAAGTACTTCATTCATAATGAATGAAGGAATCTTAGCAATGAATGAATATGCCAGGAATCTAAGCTAAATATCCCAAATTTTCTTACTGCAAGTGTAGCCTGACTGTAAAGCTGCCGCCCAGTTGGGTGGGTGTGGAGCAAGACTAGTAACTGTGTGACTCACCACACAGTTTACATAGATGTAAAGTGCCTTGTATAGTGACTGTTGTGAGCCTCTTGTTGAATCACTTGTGATACACAAAGATTATTGATATGTATATATTTGTGTACATGTATATATAGGTACATATGTATGTAATAATAACAACTGTGTAACTACATGCAGGCGACGAGTCACAATAACGTGGCTAAAGTAAGTTGACCAGACCACACACTTGAAGGTGAAGGGACGACGACGTTTCGGTCCGTCCTGGATCATTCTCAAGTCGACTTAAGAATGCTCCAGGACGAACTGAAACGTCGTCGTCGTCGTCCCTTCACCTTCTAGTGTGTGGTCTGGTCAACTGTGTAACTAGTTTCACATGATTGTCACTTGCTAAGCTAAACGAACTACGGGTTTAATTCCCGATCCTATTATGTGCCTCTGTAACCATTTCCACCACCGCCCACGGGATGGGTATAGGGTGCACAAAAAAAGAAACAAAATGTGACATTTCAAGCCCTGTCTTCCCTCCTCACACAAACTTAAACCACTGACCAAGACGACGGCTTCCAGGGAGGCGAAGTACTTGGTCCACCAGTCCCTGTTCTCCTCGTCGTCTTCTTCCACATCTATGCTCTGCTTCCTCCTCTTGTTCATCTCTGCCTTCTCTTTCTTCGCCACCGATACCAGCTTTGACACAGCGCCCGAGCCCTGGCGGATAGGGGGGTGAGATCAACGCAGGGGGAAATGGCAATTCTGATCACCCAAGCCAGCCAATACTCTCGCTATAGACCTGTACTCCACTCAGTACTTCCGTTTAGCCAGTACTCACCGAAGCCAGATACTCTGTCCAGCTACTCTGTCCAGCCAGTACTCACCGAAGCCAGATACTCTGTCCAGCCAGTACTCACCGAAGAGAGCTACTCTGTCCAGCAAGTACAAAGATAATTTCACGCACAACAAAGGTCCTGAAAACCTATTTCTTGATCGATTGCCTTGCATTTCCCTTTACTAAAAATATATATGTATGAGCAGGCAGGCTCTCTTTTTAAACAAACCGTTTATAAGAGTATGTCTGAAATAATTGGCCACAGAAGGTAAGCAAGTAACGACAGCAACAGAAAATCAGCTTTTAAAAGCTCCTTAAAGCTGCCAATGAGCAACAGCAAATCATTAAACTCTGCACAGACAATCCAACAGAAATCGAATCGTCCCAAATCAATGACCACAAACGATACAGAATGACAAGGATGCGACAACGTAAGCTTCGGTATTATCAGTTTACAATACAAATCAAAGTGATCCTGAACGAGGAAATGTTCAAGTTTGACAGGAATTAATAAGGATTAGAGAGCGTATCAAGAGCAGATAATTGAACATTATTGTTAAGAGCATAAAACTAAAAACAACACGTTTTTATTTAAGAGCATTTTGATAAGGCATAATATTCGTGCGTAATATTCAAACTAGTCTAAAGTTTACAAATTATATAACTAGACAATGTTATATATATATATATATATATATATATATATATATATATATATATATATATATATATATATATATATATATATATATATATGCGAATTCAGGCTTGTTCGCAAATATATATATATATATATATATATATATATATATATATATATATATAATATATATATATAATATATATATATATATATATATATTATAGAATGAAACAGATAAGTAAAGAAGCAGGCAATAAAGCAATAAGAAGCGAAACGAGCAATCACAAAACAAGGACAGACACTGTCCTTGGACAAAAAAAAACAAAGAAACAGGCACTAGTAAAATGAAACTTACCAAAAATAACTATAGACACAAAAAAATAAAAAAAAGTGTAAAACCGAAAAAAAAATAAGGTTGCAATCCAAACCAGGGAAGGAACGACTGTGTCGTACACCCACATAGTCGATGGTGATGATAGTGTCCTTCTGCAGGAGGGGACTCCGCTCGCTCTCCCTCTTGAAGGACACGCTGCCCCCTCTGCCTCCACCATCCCCGTGGACGTTGTTGGCGACGACGACGTTGTTAGTTGGGTCGTTGTTGTGATCCTCGGCTCCTGTAGGGGGTTATGTGTAGTGCTTCAGGACAACATGTAGGGACACGCGTGACGTCACAGAGAGAGAGAGAGAGAGAGAGAGAGAGAGAGAGAGAGAGAGAGAGAGAGAGAGAGAGAGAGAGAGAGAGAGAGAGAGAGAGAGAGAGAGAGAGAGAGAGAGAGAGAATCACCTAGTTGTGCTTGTGAAGGGGTTGAGCATTGGCTCTTTGCTTCCGCCTCTCAACTGTCAATCAACTGATGTACCGATTCCTAAGCCTACTGGGCTCTTTCAAATCTATATTAGAGAAAATGGAAATATGACTTGAGCATTATTACTGAATTCAGAATTCAGGGTGATTGCACGTGTTTGGAGTTTTAAATTACGAATTTTTATACCGAAATTGTGCAAATTAGTGAAAACGATGATTGGTTAGATTTTTCTCGTATATAGGTTTCCACCCGTGTCCCCTTGCTCGTGTTCCGGCCACGCTAAATAGTTTGTCTTTGTCCACCTTTGTTAATTTCCCTGAGAGTTGTGTAGGTGGTTATCGTTTCTTCCCTTACTTTGTTTTCCAGGGACTTGAAGATTAGCTCCCGTAGCTTTTCCTCGTAGCTCATACCTCTCAGTTCTGGGACTAGTCTTGTGGCATACCTCTGAATGTGTGGCATGTGTGTGTGTGTGAATTTGACAAATATGCAAACTTGGACTAAAAAAATCAGCTAGCTGATTTGCAAAAAAAAAAAAAACTAGTTATTTCATCCAGTATAATTATCACGAGAAAATATGGCAGGCGTATTTCCTCCCTCCTCTCTCTCTCTCTCTCTCTCTCTCTCTCTCTCTGCTATTATCTAGCTTTCATGCATTTCCTTGTGTCACAGTTCTGTACAACATACTTTCTGCTTCGCTTTATTTTCTCGTGTACCTCATTCATTCCTTAATTCCTTCTGCTAGGTCCCCCCTATTACTTTATATATTATTTTCTTTGTCGTCACTCTCCCTCCATCAAGTGCTCACCTTGGAGCTGGGCGGCGAGGGCGTTGCGCAGAGCAGCCTCCCTGGCCCTCTTGGTGACGGGGGTCCACATGTACCTGTGGAGGCTGGAGATGATGTGGGTGCCCACCAGCGTGAAGCGACCGAAGCTGCGACAGTCCACCACTCGTATGGTGATGGGCGGGCAGTATAGTTCTTGCTCCGGCAGCTCCTGAAGTATAGAGAGATGGAGGAGGGTGAGGCGGGCGGCAGTCACGAGGGCTCAGAGGGGTTTAATGTTCATTTTACCGGCGGGTCAATGACACTCTGGAGTGTTTGGTAAGATTGTAAAGTTGAGGGTTGTACCAGGTGTGTGTGTGTGTGTGTGTGTGTGTGTGTGTGTGTATTCACTTAGTTGTGTTTTGCGGGGGTTGAGCTTTTCTCTTTCGACTCGCCTCTCAACTGTCAATCAACTGTTTACTAACTACTTTTTTTTCACACCACACACACACACACACACCAGGAAGCAGCCCGTGACAGCTGACTAACTCCCTGGTACCTATTTACTGTAGGTATCAGGGGCATTCAGGGTGAAAGAAACTTTGTTGTTTCTGCCTCGTGTGAACCCGCGCCACAGAATTACGAGTCTGTCTGTATCTGTATAGTGTGTGTGTGTGTGTGTGTAGGCTGGTGCGGTCAGGTACTCTGCCATGGTCTTCCTTGAGACTTCCCAGGATAGTTAAACACACTTTTTCCTGGCTAGTTACGCCGAATTTTCTTCACAAGCACAGTATCATAGAAACCAAGTCACCTAATTTCAAAGATTTTTATCAAACCGAAGCACTCTCCAGACCGAGGCACTCATCAGGTTTAAGGGCACTCACCAGATCGATATACTTGACGGGGTTGGTAAAGTTGGGGTTCTTCCTGGCGGAGGTGAGAACGGCTGACTGGATGATGTGACCGGCGACCTCCACGTCCACCCGAGGCCTGTCCACCGTCAGGAGGTGGATCCTCTTCAGGTCCCTCAAGCCCCAGAACAGCACCTGCAGGGAGGGAAGTAAGATGGTGAGAGAGGGGTAGTAAGGTCATCGTGAAATGATACAATTGGCTAACAATAAAGCATATGCCGAGAGAGAGATGGAAAAAGCTTTGTACCCACCTCGAGTCTGTACTTGGCCAGGGTGGGCCTGATGCCCCGGGGCACGGGCAGGATGGGCCCAGAGTCCCCACAGTGGTGCTCCTTGGCTTGGGGCACCGCCAACACATCCCCGTTCTCCTCACCGTCCTGGAACTGTAAGCAACACCCTCCCGTCAGCTTCTGCGGGACTCCATTGGAACAAAATTTAAAGAACATTGAAAATAAAGAACTAAGTTTATTCCCCGTCAACCGATGAGACTTCCTGAAGCTGTCGCTTTAGGAAACCGTCTTGGCAATTAAGTTTCCTGGTCTGCACTTGTTTGTTCCACTTGTTGGCAATATTATCTGTTCCATGGAGCACGAATTAGAGGCATTGACCTCAGAAGTTATATGAAGTTTGGAAACGAAACCTTCCTAGCCTCTTGGACTGCAGCAAGATCAAGAGACAGAACTTGGTGCACGAAAGTTAAAATCCTATAGTTACAAGCACTTAAGAGGTGGCTGCAGCCGGACGTAACTCGGATAATGGGATAGTTATCCTCAGCTTAAGATAGCTGTTAAAGTAAATAATTATCAAAAGAAGGCACCAAGTCGGGAAGGCTATGTAGCACCATCAAATGTGCGGTGCTACATCAATTTTCATCGTAAGGATGTTTTGAGGAATAAAGTTACTGGCATTTGGATGGTTTCTCGACTTAGGAGCGACACAGGACTTGTTGCCTTGTCCGTCTCCAAGGTGACGAGAAATGCCAAGACATGCATGGAACGTAAAACTAGAAAAAGAGGATTTTAAACATCACGAGAGAAAACAAACATCTGGTGAAAGTTTAGCAATGAAAGTAATCGTGCGTTTGAGAGAAATTGATTATATTTAAGAGGTGTCTTTTACCTAGAGGAGCTCAAAGATAGCAAGGAACTCACCCTCGGAGATGTCTCTCACTTGAAGGGGGGCTCCAGGGAGGTCAGGAGCTCCCTGGAGAGGGTTCTCTCACCAGGGCTATAAGGGGCTCCCTGGAGGTTTCTCTCACCAGGGCGGTAAGGGGCTCCCTGGAGGTTTCTCTCACCAGGGCGGTAAGGGGCTCCCTGGAGGTTTCACTCACCAGGGCTATAAGGGGCTCCCTGGAGGTGTCTCTCACCTGGATGAACCTGGAAGTGGCAAGTTGTTCCCGCGGAAATCTCTCTCACCAGAAGGTGCTCGAAGAGAAGCAACGAAGTCACCCCCGGATGTTTGTCTCACCTGGAGGAGCTCGAAGGTGGCCAATAGCTCGCCGGCGTGGTCGGTGCCGCGGTAGAGGTCGTGCCACTGCAGGTGCGGCCGCTCGTAGGGCTCCTCCCGCAGCTTGACGTGAGGGCGGGCCAGCGCTCGCCCAATGAACTCGGACTTGCCCTACGGGGAACATCGGTAAATGTGAGAGAAGGCGGGAAAATATATGGAAGAGAGGTGGAGGGGGAGTAATAAGCAAATGGAAGAGAAACGTGTTATTCAATATTCGGAGAAATGTGTGGGAAAGATGATGGCAATAAACAGAAGTGAGAGAAGGTATGAACAATGAAGTAATGAGTACTACGACACGACGTATATCAGAGTGTTGCAACACGACGTATATATGTTGCAGCTCGACGTATATATGTTGCAACACGACGTATATCTGTTGCAACACGACGTATATCTGTTGCAAGTCGACGTATATATGTTGCAACACGACGTATATCTGTTGCAGCTTGACGTATATCTGTTGCAAGTCGACGTATATATGTTGCTGCTCGACGTATCAGTGAGGGCTGTAACTTGACACATCACCTGACAACAATTGCAATTATATTCAACGCCTATTGTTTTAATGGATCTGGCTTTCTGAACCCACATACCTGTCTCTCTCTCTCTCTCTCTCTACTTCATTTATATCCTTAGATTGGCACATTCTTTATTAGATGTCTTTATTAGAATCAATGTCAGTTTGTCGCCCTCCCAATCTATTTCTAGCTATCTGTTTATATATCTATCTTCGAATCTTCCGTTTATTGTTTTGTCTCTTCCGTTCTCAAGCCGTTCTCTCATCTAGATTGTAGATACTATTTCCTCTGCCAACTCCGCGGACAATATGAAATCCACCGCCATCTACTCACCACATTGTCTTGGTCGAAGATCTCGATAACGACCAGGGGCGGCCCCGCCTTGATCTCCTCCTTGGTGCCATAGACCAGGATGTCGTCCAAGACCAGCATCTCGTCCCAGGTCGGGCTCAGAGTCTCGTCAATCACCTGTGGGGAGGGGGAGATATAGAAGCAGACAGATGCACCTCAGAGAAGCAGCTCAGGTGAGCTTTGGTGGGCGCATGCAACTGGTACGCGGTTGAACGTTTAAAAGCTTGAGCATGGAAATCAAGTTCGATAGTTAAGATGCTCCATCATAAGGCCATTAGAATAGCGCCTGAGCCCCAGGGTAAATGGATGTTTAGCGAGATTGGCATATGATGTAATTTGCCATTTCATACCCCCAAGGAAGGTGGGGGGGGGGCGGAGAGGCGGACATGTTGGGTCAACTTTGACCCCTCCTTACCCCTACCCCTATGACCACATCCCCAGCAACCACCATTCACATGCAAAGTTTGGAGAGGCTAGCGCCCCAGTCTTGCCCCCTGGGGCGGACAAACATATATTATTTTTTATGTATAGAAGATACATGTATACATACACAAACACATCCAGAGATAGTACCCCCATATATATATATATATATATATATATATATATATATATATATATATATATATATATATATATATATATATATATATATATATATAATATAAAATCTGGCACAAATCTAGATATTCCTTAGGTTTTCTTCACCGAAGCAGGAAGATTAAAAATTAACTCTCCAAAGTTCATTTTTACATATTATTTGGGTCTGGCGCCTAGTGATGCATTATCCTCACCATTAGAGGACACAATAGGTGCTACACAGAAGAATTTGTCTTTGAGAATGTGCGAGGAGACCTTACGAAATGCATCACTAGGAGTCAGACATTGAATTAATAAGCCCTCCAAACTACAAGCAAATAGAGAACTTAAAAAAGGGCATGAGAGAGAGGTTCAGTGACACCACCTATCTTCCTCCTGTGGCCCATTAACCTATATTACGGTCTCTATAACAAACCCCAACGTGTTCTCCTCCTTCAGTAGTCTCCCTCCCCCCTCCCTTGCCACAGCACCCACTTACCTGGGTGACGCGGCAGTGCTCCCCGATGATGACTCTGGCGAAGGGATCCGACAGGCCAGAGGAGTCTGACGCAATGAGGGAGCGGGCCTGGTACATGTGCGCACGCAGCTGGAACGTCTGTAGCGGCACCAGCAGCAGGACCAGCAGTGCCATCAAGAGCGCCAGCAGCAGCATCACCACCACCAGCATCAGCAGCAGCAGCAGCAGCATCACCACCACCACCAGCAGCAGCATCACCACCACCACCAGCATCAGCAGCACCAGCAGCAGCAAATGAACGAGGAGGAATACAAGTCATTGTGGCACTAATTAGTAGGCATCCATCAGTCTCAGGAGACTATGGAGTTGCGCTCTGGTTGTCGGTCAGGAGTGGCCTCACCAGGGCGCAAAGCCAGGGTAGGTTGATTCGGGGGAGAAGCTGTTACCCAGGCAGCAGGTCCCCCTCGCACTAATTGCGGGAGGGTGTATGTCGTGCATGTATACCGTGTTTCGTGAAGTATTAAGGCTCGTATTATTCGTATATGTGACGTCTGATACGTCACGTATGCTGTTTATTAACCTTAAGAGCGTTGTTCGAATTAGGTTTAGTGCAAATGTCTCGTACACATCCCTGTATACAACGCTTTACATGTTACACCAATCTTAAGAACCTTAACGCGCGCACACACCTGCTTCTGAGTGTAGTGGAGAGAGACGGGGGGCAGAGTGAGGCTCCGCTCTATGTTCCTGAGTTCGTAGCTGAGTTCGTAGCCCTTGGGGATGCCGGGCACCAGGTTCTTCTTGTGCTTCATCAGACCCAACCACATGTGTACCTGAAGCTTGGCCTGGATGGCCCAGCCGCCGGGGCCACTAGACTTCCGCCCTGGCAACTGTAGCACAGAGGGAGAGAGAGGGTGAGAGAGAGAGAGAGAATTACCCGTTTTTATGTCAGAGAGCTTCAGCAGAATTACAGCCTCAGCTTCAGCCCTTTATGCTGAAGCTGAGGCTGTAATTTTTAACTTTATATCTGTGACGGGATGGGAACTTGTCCCACTGGTGATAACAGCGCTAACAATGTTATCAATGAAGTTGAACCCTCTAGTTTCAAGAAGATAAGGTGAAGTCGAAAATTGTTGACCAGACCACACACTAGAAGGTGAAGGGACGACGACGTTTCGGTCCGTCCTGGACCATTCTCAAGTCAATTGTGTTCTCACACAGTCGACTTGAGAATGGTCCAGGACAGACCGAAACGTCGTCGTCCCTTCACCTTCTAGTGTGTGGTCTGGAAAACGTACTTTAGCCACGTTATTGTGACTCATCGCCTGAAGTCGAAAACTTTGGCTCAAGAAGCTGAACTCGTATCTTTACGAAGTTGAAATATTTGAAAGCTCAAGGAGTACCCTGAGGAAGTTGATGCTCTTGCTTGACCTTGAGGCCAAGGTGAGTGATACTGACCTTAAGGAAGAGGGTCTGGGTGATGCCGCAGTGTCTGCCCTTCTCTTCCTGCACGGGGGAGAAGAGAAGATGTCTGGCTGGTAGACGCTGGTATGCCACTCTCTTGCCTCCGCTGATCATCCACACGAACACATCTGGCAGGCTGTGCTGGGGCTGGGGGGAATGGAGAGAGGGTGGGGGTCAGGGGGTATCTCAGTCGAGGTGGGGGGGAGGGGGTTATCATTACGGTGTAGGAGAGAGGGTGGGGGTCAGGGGGTATCTGTGGGGTATGGGAGGGAAAGGGGGGGGACAAGGAGTATTACCAACGGGGGGACTACTGGGTAAGACTCCTTGAAGAAACACTGAAGAAACTTACAGCAACTATGACTCCTCTCCATACTCTAAGAGTTGACTTCCTCTAAGAGTTGACTTGTGACTTGAAGTCACAAAACAAACAACTAACAACGAATAAGCCAAATTCTACTCGCGTAGAATCCGCGTAAAATGTCTTGCACGACTTTCCATAACTGCATCTTAGAAAAATGAGAGCTGTGAAGGAGTTCCTCAAGCCCATCAATAAATAAAAATGGCAATAAGATGTAACTTATATTTTAGCTTGGGGTTTGAGTTCAAGGGCATTCTAGCTGTTAAGTCAACCTTTAACTTACAATCCAAGCAATAAGTACACTTTATTCCCCTACAAACTTAATAACAAAAAGGTACTCTGAGGTGTACCTGTGATGGGCAAGACAAGGACCCACTACAGGTTCTCTTGAGGGGGGTGGGGGGTAAGGACAAGGACCCAACACAGGTACTCTGGGGAAGGGGGGATAAGGAGCCCTCACAGGTACTCTGGGGGGATGATGGTGGGACAAAGACCTACCACAGGTACTCACGTCATCAATAAGGCCCTTGAGCTTGGCCAAGTAGGAGTGAGCAGTCTTGTAGCGCTCCCTCAGGCTGTGTCTGGTGAGCAGCGCCTTGGTGTGTCTCGCTGAGCTGCCCAGATGATCCTGCCGGAGAGGAGTGAGTGAGGGAGGGAGTAGGTGGGGGCAGGTGCAAGGAAGATGTCGCTCAAGGTAACCGTCTTAATACATAAAGGGAGGCAACAATCATTACGGCTGAAGAAAACACGGGGTTTTGTCAGAATCTTCGATTTTGGAAGATATATATATATATATATATATATATATATATATATATATGTCACAATTAGGTCACAAAGTTGCACAAAGAACGTGTTACAGTCTATTGGGTTCTTAAGTCAGGTCATTTTATACACTCCATCTATCATTATCTTCAACTAATGCATGGTTAAGCTGTATTAAAGCATGTCACAACGTCACGTGTGATATGCTCTAATATCAGGAACATCACAGAGTATAAAGATAATACGGGGAGAGGTGACGAGAGATCCATTCACAAGTTTACATATTCACGCACATATTACCCATACACAGTCACCATTCATCACTAACTCACATGACGTAAGTTTAATCCACACATCCAGACCGCTTCTATCCTGCCTCGAACACTGCTACTTCAGCTTGCAGGTGATCCACTCACCATCTCTCTCTGGCAGAGTCTCATGCGCTCCTTATCCAGCTTAGTCCTTCCTCCGGAGGACCCCGAAGAGTAGCCTCGGGCCAGGCTCATGTAGTGACCGCATCCGGACACCAGCTCCTCCAGTACCTCCTTCAGACGCTGCTCAGCGCTCCCGTCCTCCTCCTCCAGCAGGGACGACACCTCCGACAGGCCCTCCTCCTACGTGGAGAAAGGAGACAATATAATCTATGGTAGGAATATGTACAGGTTATCAATATATAAGTATGAGATAAGGCTCAATCACACCAGTGGACGGCATAGATAAAAGAGTTAACCTTACCTCAACGTATGTCCAATATTAACCCCATCCATTGTTGTAATATTATGTAATAATAATAATAATAACAATAATAATATATTATTATTATTGTGATTAACCCTCCTTTGTTTCCTACTAATCTGAGGAGGAATGTACCAAAGAGGAAACGGAAGAGAACTCGTGTAAGTCTGAGGCCTTCCAGTCAAAAGCAATTTACTGGGCAAATGATCGGGAGGTGTATTTGTTATTGTGACAATGGCAATCAAAGGTTGACATCGAGCTTGCTAGGGGACAGTGACCCAGACAGTGAATGGCAAATTGATGTACGTGTATGTGTACTCACCTATTTGTGCTTGCGGGGGTTGAGCTTTGGCTCTTTGGTCCCGCCTCTCAACTGTCAATCAACTGGTGTACAGATTCCTGAGCCTACTGGGCTCTATCATATCTACATTTAAAGCTGTGTATGGAGTCAGCCTCCACCACATCACTGCCTAGTGCATTCCATCCGTTAACTACTCTGACACTGAAAAAGTTCCTTCTAACGTCTCTGTGGCTCATGTGGGTACTCAGTTTCCACCTGTGTCCCCTTGTTCGCGTCCCACCAGTGTTGAATAGTTTATCCTTGTGTACCCGGTCGATTCCTCTGAGGATTTTGTAGGTTGTGATCATGTCTCCCCTTACTCTTCTGTCTTCCAGTGTCGTAAGGTGCATTTCCCGCAGCCTTTCCTCGTAACTCATGCCTCTTAGTTCTGGGACTAGTCTAGTGGCATACCTTTGGACTTTTTCCAGCTTCGTCTTGTGCTTGACAAGGTACGGGCTCCATGCTGGGGCCGCATACTCCAGGATTGGTCTTACATATATGGTGTACAAGATTCTGAATGATTCCTTACACAGGTTCCTGAACGCTGTTCTGATGTTAGCCAGCCTCGCATATGCCGCAGACGTTATTCTTTTTATGTGGGCTTCAGGAGACAGGTTTGGTGTGATATCAACTCCTAGATCATTCTCTCTGTTCGTTTCATTAAGTACTTCATCTCCTATTCTGTATCCTGTGTTTGGCCTCCTATTTCCACCACCTAGTTTCATTACTTTGCATTTACTCGGGTTGAAATTCAACAGCCATTTGTTGGACCATTCACTCAGTCTGTCTTGGTGTGTGTGTGTGTGTGTATTTCATTCTATTCTTCCTTCCTATGACACGCCCATGTCCCCCATGTCCAATATCCTTACCAGTTTGGCCGCGATGCCGTCGATGAAGTTGGAGTTGTAGAGGCGCCGTCTGTGGTCTTGGAAGAAGGCGCGCACGTAGAGACACGGCTTGTCGTCCCAGAAGGGGAGGAAGTAGTAGGTCTTGTCATTGGTCATAGGCTTGGCGGGCGGCGTCGTGGACTGCCACATGGACGTCTCTGCGATGATAGACTCCGGACCTGCACGGAAGGTGAGGCGGCACGACATATGAAACGGAAGAATATAGAATGGGAATTAGTGTGGGAGGGAATTTTAGAAGGGCGCTGGAACGGATTATATTGGAGGGAACCTTATCGCTCGCATTATATATCATTCTCTGTCTCCACTTCCTTCGCCTAGTTCTCGTTTTTCTCCTCCACTTCTTCACCTAAGCTCTCACGGTTCTCCACTTCTCTCCCACTCACCTGAGTCTCCATCGCTCTCATCGTCGCTTGAGGGTCGAGCGGAAGAGCAGCTGTCGATGGAGTTGCCAGCGTTGCCGATGGAGAGTTCGAAGGTGACAGGCTTGTCGCTGACTCGCTTCTCGATCATCGTAGCCTCGTGCACCGAGGTGAAGAGCAGGAACTCTTCACTCTTGCCATAGTTACTCTGCCACACGACACCGACAGTGGAAGAGAGAATGTGAAATGTTACTTAACATCACTGAGACGTCACAAATGTTTACCATCACCATGTGTGCGCTTCCCTACAATAGTATGAGATGAAATATGAACTACAGGACCATTATATATAGCCTTCCCGGTTTGGTGCCTTCTTTTGATAATTACTTACTTACAGGACCATTATTATGTGACGTCGTGCGGCCAGGCTTATGTTGAATGCAACTCTGGGTGTCAATGGGGGGCATTTTCTCTACTAATTTTACAAAGTTCTAAATGATAACCTACATCAGTGGTTCTAGTAATGATGATGACAATTGTGTAATATCAGAACAATTATAACAGAACTCTGAACAGCTTCTCGGTAAGGCCGACAAGGAAACTTTAAAGAAATAAAGGCAGATGTATCTTAATAAAAATTTTCATTCTCAGAAATCTTGCTTTTATGAATGTACTTATTAAGAAATACAAGGATCTTAATGCAAATATCGAGACATTGTGTTTTACTTGTCTGAGCTTAAGTCCCCCCAATGATTCAAGTGAAATGTCATTTTCAAAGACAGAATTGTGGACTGCTGCTGATATGGCGGGCATGAGACCTGTATAGGTAGGTAGTCCTCCCTATACAGTCCTCCAGGACCCATCATGGTGGCCCAGGTAATGGTAGCAGCTCAGAAGCAGTTGTTTCAGCAGAATTAATAACCAATTTTTACCATTTCTCTCTAATAAAAGAGACAGTGAAGCTCGAGTGACGTTGCAAATGCATTCCTGCGAGAAATTGTATCAATAAATTTTAGTGACTGAGCCAGCACTATAATCCTTCCCTGGATGTCCGGCCCAGATTCCGGTCTCTCCCCTCTCTCCCCTCTCTCGTTCCCCTCTCCCCCTTTGACCGTGATCCTCGAAGCCCTCGTTGGCTAGTCCCTCATTTCACATTCCCCCTTCATGCTCCCGGTCATCTCGCCTTCCCCACATGTCCCAGGTCACCTCACATTACCGTCATGTCACAGGTCATCTCACTCCTCAAGTCACGCTATTAGGCTCGCTCACTTATCAAAACCCGCTCATAGGTCATGTGACCGATCAGGTGTTTTTTTCCCCTCACTATTTCCATATTATGCTTCTAAGACTACACTTAACCCAGACCCCCACGGTCGTCTCTCCTTAGGCCACACCGTTAAAATGCTTCTCAGATCAAGGGTTCGGTTCAGAACCATCATAAAATGATTCTCAGATGAAGGACTCGGTTTAGAATCATACAAAATGGTTCTCAGATCACGAACGCAGCTCAGAACCATCATAAAATGATTCTTAGATCAAGGACTCGGTTCAGAACTATCAAAAATAATTCTTAGATCAAGGACTCAGTTTAGAACCGTCATAAAATGGTTCTCAGATTCTCAGGATTAGGAGCGAGTGTCTCAATGTCCTCTTTGCCACCTAAGTGGGGGTCTGTGCAATGCTTGTGATGTCAGTTGAGAAGTGACAATGGGTAATGAATCAATGGGTACTTTTGAATTACCCATTACTCTTGAATGGGTAATGTAAATAATCGCGTAGGTTTATAGAATAGAATAAAACAGCTAGCCATTAAAACATGCAAGGAGACACCTTGGTCGTTAATTGGAATCATGAAGGAGATATTGTCGAAAAAGAGATTGTTTACTGACAAAAAATCTCTAGTCCTAACAGTCTCCCAACTGTCAACCGGTTTGGTTTACAAGTCCTCGAGCTTATTGGGCTCTTATCGTATTTACAGTTGAAATTGTGTATGGAGTCTGCCTCCACTAGCTGTCGGTGCCTGACAGCTGAGTGGCCAGTGCTTCGGATTCGTAGTCCTGAGGTTCCGGGTTCGATCACCGGTGGAGGCGAAGACAAATGGGCAAAAAGTTTCTATCACCTTGATGCCCCTGTTACCTAGCAGTAAATAGGTACCTGAGAGTTAAGACAGTTGCTACGGGCCGCTTCCTGGGGGTGCGTAACAAAAAGAAGGCCTGGTCGAGGACCGGGCCCCGGGGACGCTAAGCCCTGAAATCATCTCAAGATAACCTCAAGAAGATAATCACATCACTTCCTAGTATGTATCAAAAGAAGGCACCAAGCCGGAAACTATGTTTCATTCTCAGTGTCGCTGGATATTCAAAGGGCGATAAATGCCACTAAATGGCCTAACACTCCCTAGTGCATTCCATTTGTTAACTATTGGCACGGAAAACATTATTTCTAAATGTATCTTTGGTTTATTTGGCTACTCAAATTCCACCTGTTTTTCTTTACTTGTCGGAATTCCACATATTTCTGATATCGTTTGTCCTATAAATGCAGAGAGATTTTGTATGAAGTGATAATTTCCTTCCAGTGACCCGAGGTTTAATTATTTTTGATTTTCCGTGTAAATCGTATATCTTAACTTTGTGATTAGTCTAATGGAATTCACCTGAGCTTTCTCCAACTTCGTTTTGTGATAAGGACTCTTATACCGCATATTCTAGGTTTGGGCTGACATGTGTGTTGTACAAGGTCTTGAATAATTCCTTACTCAGGACTTATTCAAGAACGGGATATGGAGGGGGGGGGGAGCGATACTGATAGACATTCAAAGGAGTTTAAATTAGTTAAGTGAATAAGTATGACGGCTATTGTAAGATAAATAGTCAGCATTTTATGACGAAAAATGCAATTACTGTCCAGGAGAGAAAAAGCTTTTTCTGCATCTGAATAATTTTGTGTTTGGCTTAATTGCTTGCCATTTCTACTATGAAATACGATCATTGTCTCCAATGGCTCGGTGCTCGTTGATTCCTCTGCTCCTTCAGTTACTCGACCTTTCCATCATTCAGTTATTGACATTCGCTTCTCTTCTTCTCCCATTACTCACTTCTCAGGCATCACTACTCTCTTCCTTTCATTTAAATATTGATTGTACTCCTCAATCAACTCTACCCCCTTCCCACTGCTTCCCCATCAACGTACCTCCTGTATGGGAAGGGTTATCTCTACCTCCACCTCCGAAGGGGCCACGTCCAAGAGGTCTGTGATCTGACACCTGACGGAGAGCAGGATGCGTCCGCGGTAAGCGATGCCCTCCCCCAGACCGGCGTTGAGAGCAGCGTGCTCGTCCATCACCGCCCCGTCTCGCGTGGACCCATACAAGTACACATAGGCCGGTCCGAACGTAGGCAGGAACCCTGGGAGTGAGGGAAGAGGTCAAGTTACTAGGTCAGAGGTCAAGCTAGCTATAGGGGGGGGATCAGTTGTCAAAGGTTACATTTGTCAACATGATATGATTGAATGTGTCTGCAGGGTTAATTAAATGTTAGAGTTAGGTCAAAGGTTAAGTTAGATCAGTTAACGGTCTGGTGTTAGGGAGGGAGGGGGGGGGAGGTTAACATAAGGTCAAAGTATGACCCGAGGTCAACTTTAGATGGTAACCAAGTGTGAGGTGAAAGACGTCAGACAATATGGGTCAAATGTCTAAGGTTAAAACGCGCAGTATGAGTATTATGGTCAAGGCAGGGTCAATGCTAAGCTAAACGCTTGTATGAGGTCAACATCAGGGGTTAAAACCAGGTTAAAGTTATCAAGCGCTTCTTAACCTTCGAAATGGGTGAGGATTTTGGTAGGAGAAAGAATACTTATTAAGAGTTCAACGACCATAATGGGTTAAAGGTCAGAGACCGCAGTAAGGTCACCAGAAGGCCCAAAAAGGGGGATATGGTTGTCTCCAAAAAAGAGGTTAGGGATTAAAATGCAGGAATTTGGGAATTAAAGAAAGTCTTAAGGATTCTAAGGTCACGTTTCCAGTCACGTGTCCGGGCAGGTAGGGGGGGGGGGGTCGAGGTCATGTTACATATGACAAACGTTGTGAGTTGCCAGTATAAAGTCAAAGGTGGTCCATTTGTAATGTCAAAATAAGGTCAAATTGGGTGGCTGACAAAAACAAATGGGATTTAGATAGAAAATAGCTTGCGGCTAAAAAAATAGGCTGATAGAAAATAGGATGCGGAATGGAAGTAAACTGCTGAAAATAAGCCACTGGCAGAAAATTGGGTTCATATAGAAAATGGGCTGCAAACCAAAAAATAGGTTTCAAAAGCACATAGGCTTCTTTCATTTAATGGGCTGTTAGCAGAAATGAAAAAAAGAAAAAGTTGCCAAAGACAGAGGCCTCCTTGAAGAAAAGGGAGTTCGGTTCTCCGAAAAGGGAGTTTTCTGTTCGGATATTCAATCCGAACAGAAAAGTTAATCAGAGAAGGATCGATGCTTTAATATAAATTCATAGCATTTAAGCACTCAAAAAGAGCTGTAACAAGATGCTTGACATTAACAACCACTATAGAAAAATTAGTGATTTAAAAATGATAATAGAAAAGAGCCAGGACGCATCAAATACTTAAGTGTCCCCTTACGAAACCTATACATCTTCCCTCAATCATAGCGGGTTATAATTTGTATTTAATAGACAGTTTATAGACTCCGAAGTGCTACAACGTTGTATATAACAATATAATTGGATTGTATGGAGTTTGGATGTTCATAAACTGCTTAATTAATACAAATTAAGCAGCTACGATCGAGGTCTCGTAAGGAGACACGCAAAGTCTTGATGAATCCCGGAGCAAGTCATTAGAGACATCACAAGAAACAGGTCATCGCAGAATGTTGGGTTACCGAGAGGCGTCATACCATAGGAATCTGGGCTTCCTGAAACGTTAAGAAGGAGTCGGGTTACACACACATTTGTGCAGCTGTGTAAGATGGCCTGCCACGTGTACGTGTACGTGTACGTGTACGTGTGTGTGTGTGTGTGTGTGTGTGTGTGTGTGTGTGTGTGTGTGTGTGTGTGTGTGTGTACGTGTGTGTGTGTGTGTGTTCTAGAGAGGGAAGGGGGACGCTCCTCCAACTCCCACCTCCCATGTTATGATACATGAGTTTGATACACAAGTGCATACTATTGTATTAATGATAGTTATTTGATAATGATACGTATGTGTAGTTCTCATTCATAATTAATATTATTATTATTATTATCTGCATATATTTCACCCGGAAACAAAATGATCCATTATATTCATGGATTAATGTATATAAATATATATTCATATATTTATAATGATCCATTATATGATCCACTTATATATCCATTATATATATAAGTGAATATTCAACAAAATCCAATCGAAATATATATTCCTTTTGTCCAGTATTAGTAATAACAACATACAACACCTATACGATCTATACGTGGAAGACAACATGTTGCTGTGTGTGTGTGATACACAATTCAGTATGAACAGAGTATACCTACAAGGCCGAGCGGTCAGGTTTACACAGATATTTGTATATCAGGTTTACATTCAGCTAATATACGTATACATACAGAGCGGAGTTGGGATAGAACCTGATATATACATATACATACAGGGCTAGAGTACAACAGATATATGTGTATAGAGTACAGTAACGAGGCAATTTAACTGTTGGTTGGTCTTGTAATAAATGAATATACAGCTATTTAAGTAATGTGAATTTACCTGATATCGAGTACGAACATTTATGGAGTGAAGGACTTGGCGAGTGAAAATCCACAAGGGCCGTGATGAGGGTTCGAATCTGCGCCCCGGGATGATCCCAGAAGCGCCTTAGTCAACTGTACCACGACATGGTACAGTTGACTATTTCCCTTCTGGGATCATCCCGTGTGTAGGTTCGAACCCTAATCACGGCCCTTGTGGATTTGTTCAGTTGATATATCACGCTATTGTGATTTCTGTGTGAATTGGATGATATATGTAGAGAGAGTAGGAAACGCAGTCACAAGCTCACATGAACGTTATCGTCGAAGCATAAATTCCCAAAAAGCTCTGATTTATATGTTTAATTTACATAATTTACATTGATGAACAATAATTTACATCAATAATTTCCATTGGCAGTCCCCGTGGCAAAGTGCTAAAACACTCGCCTGGCGTTTGGTGAGCGCTTTGGCTTGGGTTCGTATCCTGGCCGGGGAGGATTGACTGGGCGCCAATCCTTAACTGTATAGCCTCTGTTCACCCAACAGTAAAATGGGTATCTGGTTGTTAAACGATTTGGCGGGTCGTATTCCAGGGAACATAGGATTAAGGACCTGCCCGAAACACTACGAGTGCTAGTGGCTGTACAAGAATGTAAGAACTCATATATATATATATATATATATATATATATATATATATATATATATATATATATATATATATATATATAAATATATATATATATATATATATATATGTCCCAAAAAATATACAGGTTTTCTGTGCCCCGACAAAAACTAATTATTATCTTCGCTTCTCCTCATCTTTCTTCTACTCTTCTCAGTCTCTTCTCTTCAGCTAGCTGCCCGAAATACAGAAACCCATTACGGGAAACTCGGACATAAAGACGGACAATGCCAGGAAGGTGGCCTGGGAGGCACTTTAAAGTAGGAAGGTGTCGAAAAGTTCTAGGTGAGGAAGGGGAGAGAGAATATATATATATATATATATATATATATATATATATATATATATATATATATATATATATATATATATATATATATATATATATATATATATATATATATGTCGTACCTAGTAGCCAGAACGCACTTCTCAGCCTACTATGCAAGACCCAATTTGCCTAATAAGCCAAGTTTTCATGAATTATTTGTTTTTCGACGACCTAACCTACCTAACCTAACCTAACCTATCTTTTTCGGCTACCTAACCAAACCTAACCTATGAAGATAGGTTAGGTTAGGTTAGGTAGGGTTGGTTAGGTTCGGTCATATATCTACGTTAATTTTAACTCCAATAAAAAAAAATTGACCTCATACATAATGAAATGGGTAGCTTTATCATTTCATAAGAAAAAAAATAGAAAAAATATATTAATTCAGGAAAACTTGGCTTATTAGGCAAATCGGGCCTTGAATAGTAGGCCAAAAAGTGAGTTCTGGCTACTAGGTACGACATATATATAAATAATATATATATATATATATATATATATATATATATATATATATATATATATATATATATATATATATATGTCGTACCTAGTAGCCAGAACTCACTTTTTGGCCTACTATTCAAGGCCCGATTTGCCTAATAAGCCAAGTTTTCCTGAATTAATATATTTTTTCTATTTTTTTTCTTATGAAATGATAAAGCTACCCATTTTATTATGTATGAGGTCAATTTTTTTTATTGGAGTTAAAATTAACGTAGATATATGACCGAACCTAACCAACCCTACCTAACCTAACCTAACCTATCTTTATAGGTTAGGTAGGTTAGGTAGTCGAAAAAAAACAATTAATTCATGAAAACTTGGCTTATTAGGCAAATTGATCCTTGCATAATAGGCTGAGAAGTGCGTTCTGGCTACTAGGTACGACATATATATATATATATATATATATATATATATATAATATATATATATATATATATATATATATATATATATATATATATATATATATGTATTGTGACGATAATCTCTTTCAAGAGAGATTGAGCCTGCTCTTCCCTACATCATTACGTCGTACATACAAGATACTATATAGAAGATACGTCCACCAGTATCGCCAAACGTTTTGCCCAGGAAGCAAATCGTACCTTGCACACACCGACACCTGGCTACAGCTGCCGTAACCAGCAAACTGCTCATCCTCTGCCTGCCTGTTGCTGATTGGCTGGTGTCTCGTCGCACCTGCACTCCACCACCACCACGAGTCGTCGTCTGGGCAGCAGCACGCCAGACTCGTCAGAATATCTCAGTGCTCCTTGGAGTTGACATCTCTCGCTGGTAGACTAAGCCTTGGCTTTCGTGTACTAAGGGAGGTGGCAGCTTGAAGCCAGTATTCCAGCACCCATTATTATTTTATTTTGCTATCACTGTAACTTACTTGTCTTAGCGTAACTTTTCATTTGCCAGTGATTATTCATGTTATTTTGTTTGTTGACTTGTCCTACATTTTATGAGATTGTCTTTATTCATGTCTTGTTTTCTAGAGTAATTAAAATTTCATTGTTTATATACTTGTGTTTCGTGTGTCTTCCCATTACCTTACCACAGACGAAAGGACAAACTTTTATCTTTTTTTTGTGATGTGACGAGGCCCTGCCCCCAGCTTTTGAAACAGCCGAACACCAAACGCTTTACTGTCACAGTATATATATATATATATATATATATATATATATATATATATATATATATATATAATTATCCATTGTCACAAAAAAGAAATTGATAGGTAAATGAAAGAATATATCCTCTTAATGAGGATATAGTGAAACGTAGGTTGTAGATGCCGTAGAGTTATCCGCAATTGCGTTTAATGCTATGCTGTACTGAACACATGGCCCTGTATGACTAACCATCCTGCGAGATGGGGACTTTTAGTATCACTGCTGCCTTATTCACTCTTGTGTTGATGATATCCTCATAATGCATCCGGAGTCTACCAGTGCAGACTACTTATCACATGCCTCTGTATGACTAACCATCCTGTGTGATGGGGATTTTTTAGCATCACGGAGCTAGCTTTTTGACACTGTACTCCCCTTCACATAGTCTAGGGGCAGCTGCACTAATGCAGATGTACCCAAAAGTGTTTATAAATAAAATGCTATAATGTTCAAAATAAATATATTTATTTTGAACAATATTTCGAATATATTTTGAACAATAAACATTGTTTAAAATGTATTTATAATAATATAAGCAATCAGTTTGACTATTTATTGCTTTTAATTCATATTTTAAATTTGCATTCACTAAATTTTTCATGAAGACTGAGTTACGAGCGAGACAATTGTGATATATACAAACCGAAACATTATAAAAATCTCTTTAAATATTAGTGTAAAAGTACCATGGTACCTTGCTCTTTCCCTCCATCTCTTCCTCTTTATTTATCTCTAGTACTCTTGCCTGTATACCTCCCTTTCTCTCTCTCTCTCTCTCTCTCTCTCTCTCTCTCTCTCTCTCTCTCTCTCTCTCTCTCTCTCTCTCTCTCACCTCCACCTTTCCTATCTCTCCTAACTCGACACAAACACAATATACAGAAAGGTCACAGCCACCTAAAATTAGATTTAGGAGCTCATGTAATGTGATTATTATTATTAATGTTCCTAACACAATGGAATAAAAATATGAGCTCTTCAGATTTTTAACATGAACACTTATCATACAATTACACACACGTACATAAGAACTGCCCTCAGAAACTTGTGTAAAGAATCAGAACCTTGTATACCCCATATGCCAGACAAATACTGTGGCTCCAGCGTGGAGTCTACACCTTATGAAACACAAAACGAACTTAGAAAAGGTTCAGAGATGTGCCACCAGGCTAGTCCCCGAGCTGAGAGAAATGAGCATTGAGGAAAGATTACTGGAACTGATCCTCACGACGCTGGAAGACAGAAGAGTTAGGAAAGACATGATCACTACCTAGAAATTTTTCAGAGGAATTGATAGGGGTAGATAAAGATAAACTGTTAGCACTGGTGATACGCGAACAAGGGGACACAGGGGGAAATTGAGTACCCAAATAAGCCACATGGACGTTATAAAGAACGTTTTCAGTGTCAGGGAAGTTAACAAGTGGAATGCATTAGGCAGTGATGTGGTGAAGGCTGACTTCATACACAGTTTCAAATGCAGACATGATAGAGCCCGGTAGGCTCAGGAATCTGTACACCAGTTGATTGACAGTTGAGAGGCGGGATCAAAGAGCCAGAGCTTATCCCCCTCAAGTTCAACTAGGTGAGTACAACTAGGTGAGTATAGGACAACTAGGCGAGTATAAGTCTAAAGCAAAAAGATAAGACGCAAGTAATCAATTCGTAGATAAAATCCTTCAAGTATCAAATATAGTGTAAGATCTGGGACTTGATATCACTCCGAACCCGCCTCCTGAGGCGCACAGCTTAAGGATATCATCATCAGCAACAGCAGCATATGCTAGGTTATCCAACATTAGAACTGCCTTTAGAAATATGCGTAAGGAATCATTCAAAACCTTATATATCACATATGTTAGACCAATCCCGGAGAGTGCGGCTTCAGGTTTGAGTCCATATCGTGTCAATCGTAGGTCAAAGTTAGAGAAAGTTGAGAGGAATGCAGCAAGACTAGTCCCAGAGCTGAATGGAACGAGTTGATGGATAAATGAGAAACTGAGTAACCTAATCGGTTTCAATACCTACTTGAGGCCTGAGTCTTAAGATGTGGAATACCTGAGCACAACTACAGTCATTTTACCACTCTGTCACCATCACGACCCCCTTCTTCACCATCATGACCCCCTCCTTCACCATCACGACCCCCCCTCTCCTTCACCATCACCATCACGACCCCCCCCTCTCCTTCACCACCACTCTACCACCATCACTACCAATACAACCGTCGTCACCCTCGGAGCACCACTACCACCACCACTCTTTACCACCATCACTACAACCATAACCACCTTTACCACCACTTCCGCTCCTTTCCACCTCCAAAAATATCCTGGTTAGTATCGTCATTAACCACCACTTCCGGCAAGCGTTACTTTCTCAATACTCCCCCTCTGCCTCTCTCCATCTCCTCTACTTTCCCTCTGCTCCTACCTCTTTCCTATTTCTGCCTCCACTTTCTTCCCTTATCCTACCGTCCCTTCCTATTCTTTCCTCTTCATCTTTCCACCACATTCCCGCGCTCCTCCTTCCTATACTCCTTCCACCTTCCCCCTATAATCCTATTTCACCTTCATCTCTCTTCCCTTTTCCTTCTATATAGCTATAATAGCTTGGCGCGCTCTCTCCTAATAGTTCCCTTCCCTTCTCTTTTTTCTCACTCCTCTTCCTTCTCCTCACAACTCACCTTTGTCACCGTCGTTGGAGACGGTGGTGAGGTCAAGGAAGTGGGTGCCGACGACAGTGTCGTTGACGGCGTCGTTGTCCCGGACCTGGATCTTGACCCTCTGGCACAGCGGCGGGAACATCTCCGTGAAGACGATCTGCTCATTCCAGGTCGGGCACGAGGTGTTCTTCTTGACGCTCGTCCGTCCCTGAGGGGCGAGAGGGAAGGTGAGACTCCAGGGAGGGGATACCTTGCAAGGGGTCAAGGGTTACGCGTTTGTTTACGTTTGAAGAGAACGCGTTTGAAGGGCCCCAGTATGTTAAACGCCTCAAGGCTCGGTCTAGGTCCTCCTGGAATAGCGTCTGAATGAGGGTTGTAGGTAGTAGCGCTGAGCCAGTATGACTATACAGTACATGGGAGGGATATGGGGACGGAGTGAAGGACTGGTGAGTATAACCGCTTGAACCGTCAGGGATCGAACGCCGACTCTGCAGGAAGAGAGGTCGTCACTCTACCGACCAGTTCAAGACGACGGGCTTTAATGGAGGAGACATGAGTCCAGTGGAAGAGAATATGGAGGAGGCTGTGTAGGTAGGCATAAGAAGGTCGCAGTGAAGGCTGCAGATGGCGCCTCGGCTGAATGTCATCCTCACCAAATTTGTAATTGCTTCGAAGTCCAAAAAATATAATTTAACTTTTCAATGAAGGATAATTATGACCAAACTTAGTTTTTTGTTGAAGATGAGTCCCCCCATACGGCTGGGAGGATGTGGATGAAAGCGTTAAATCAGGCAAGCCTCCTCCTGCCCTCCAGTAGCCACAAAGTTATAATTGAGAGTGAGAGTAACAAAATAAAGATATCAAAGGAAGAGGCAGATAATAACACGGATAATAAGAGGAAGAGGGAAATGGCTAAGTAAGCAAGAGACGGCGAGGCAGAGCAAAACACTCAGTGCAGAACGGAAAAAAAGAAAGGACGAAGCAGGAAGAAAATTTTAAAGGAGAGGCGGCATCTGGAGGCGAGACTGTAAAGACGAACGAACAAAGACTACCGGGGTGTCGAGGCCTCGCCCTACACGTGAGATCCACCTTGAGGTAGGCTCGAGAGACGAAAATAAAAGCCTATGGCCGTCCCCTGAGCCACACCTAGGTGAAGACTGTGTATTTGAAAAGTTGTATTATTCTTGCTGGCTATCTCACATCCCCCAAAATGCCTAGTCCGCTGGTTCTGAGGGACCCCGGGGGCTCCGAAAGGCCTCGGGGGCCCCGAAAAGCCTCACACACACACACACACACACACACACACACACACACACACACACACACACACACACACACACACACACACACACACATTCTGGAAACTGGATAGTTGTGTAATGCAGGCAGGTGGTTCATCAATAACAGGAACCAACTGCTATGCATATGTGATGATATATTGTACTAGAGGCAGGGGGGAGGAGGGGCCCTTGGTGGAACATACACCTGGATAAATACATCTGGCATTTCATGTCCAAATTTACATATGCACCAGTGACTGAATTTGTACAATAACCAACTATCAAACTTTCACAACTGTGGCAACGCCAAAATGTTCACAACATTACAGTTCCCCACAACACATCATTAACTAGCCCCCCCCCCAACAGCAACATTACACTACCCACAACAACCCACAGGAACACCCACTCACAGAGAGGCCCGCGAAGGAGACTTGGACGTAAGGATCTACGAGGTCTCTGGAGTCTCCCGTGAAGGCCTTCTTCACGTTGGCCATGATGGAGGAGTTGATCTTGGGCAGCCCGTCGGCTCGGTACACCCTCACGATGAACTTGGCCCTCTGGCGCTCGGCTGGCACTCCGTCAGGCAGCAGGAGGTTCCTGGGGGTTTGGGAGGGTGGAAGAAAGTGCCTTAGTGACAGAGAGAGTGGGTGAGTGGGGAGGGGGTGAGGGGTTGTTGGGGAATTAGGGGGGGAAAAGGACGGGAGGAAATGAGACAAGGTGGGGGAGGAATGATGAGGAAGCGAATAAGAGAGAGAGAGAGAGAGAGAGAGAGAGAGAGAGAGAGAGAGAGAGAGAGAGAGAGAGAGTGAGAGAGAGAGAGAGAGAGAGAGCTCGTGTAGTTGTACTCACCTAGTTGTGCTTGCAGGAGTTGAGCTCTGGCTCTTTGGTCCCACCTTTCAACTGTCAATCAACTGGTATACAAATTCCTGAGCCTACTGGGCTCTATCATATCTACATTTGAAACTGTGTATGGAGTCAGCCTCCACCACATCACTGGTAGGGACAGACTAATGCATTCCACCTGTTAACTACTCTGACACTGACAAGTTCTTTCTAACGTCCCTGTGGCTCATTTGGGTACTCACTTTCCACCTGTGTCCCCTTGTTCGAGTACCACCCGTGTTAAACAGTTTATCTTTATCTACCCTGTCAATTCCTCTGAGAATCTTGTAGGTAGTGATCATGTCTTCCCTAACTCTTCTATCTTCCAGTCTTAGTGTATGTGTGTGTGTGTATGAGCCCGCTCGCGCGCCTGTGTGTGGCGTTCAGAGCAGGTGTGGATCTGTAGGCAGGTGGGGGGAATTTTAGGCAAATGTGGAATTGTAGGCAGGTGTGTGTGGGACAGATGTAGAGTTGTACGTGTATATAATAAACGGAGAGGACAGCCAGGGTCCAAGTGAGAGAGAAACCATTTGGAAAAACTATTTAATTAGCAAATGAGGAACTGATTTTTCCTCAATCCTCATAAAAATCATTATAATTAATTTGCAAAGTGATTAAATATTGACCAAAGTATGGGGGTCATTAGAAATATAATGACAGTATTTATAATGTTTTGACTGTACCTTATTCAACTTAATTGGGTATTTAAAGTTAAGATGCGTATTCAAGCAAATATCGTATTTATAATAAAATAAGAACAGTAAAGGAGTTGAGTAATAACACATGTGCAGAAGATTCTAAATAATGACTAAAACTACGATGGATTGTTGCCATAGTAAAATTAGGACACAACATTGATAAATAGAAATAAAGATAAAAGTAAGATGCAGATATCAAGTTCGGTCCACAAATGTGATATATTATTTATTTCTAAATATACAGTATATATATATATATATATATATATATATATATATATATATATGTGACGATAATCTCCTTCAGAGATTGAGCCTGCTCTTCCCTCCATAATTACGTCTTCACAATTATATAAAAAGACTATGGAAGAAATGTCCAACAACGACAACAACACCAGCAAGGCTTGCCAGGGTGAGCAGAAACGTATGCAGCCAGCCACCTGTTCGAACTCCAACCACCAAACTACCCGTTTGATCGCTACGGCTCCGCTGATTGGTCGCCGGTCTGGCTGCACCTGCACTCGCCTCCCATACTACCTGATGTCTGGGGTCGCCCCAACATCAGTCTTCAGAATGTTCAGTGCTTTCGTAGCCAGCACTCCTCCCAGCTAGACGTTAGCGTGTACTGAGAGAGGTGGTGGCTTTAAGCCAATATTCCAGCACCTCCCACTTAACTTTTGTATTGCACTTCTGTTATTTTGCCTAACGTAACTTTTCATTGTGTCATCTAATTATTCTTATTATTTTGATTGATTTTATTATAAGAATTTGTTTGTGCATTATTTTCATGTTTTGATTTATTTAACGTAATTAAAATTTCATTGTTAAAGTTTTACTTGTGTTTTGTGTGTCTTCTCCTTACCTTACCACAGACGAAGTTCCAGTTTTTCTATTTTTTTTTATAACTATGTGACGAGGCCATACCCCTAGCCTTAAACAGCCGAACACCAACGCGTTACCGTCACAATATATATATATATATATATATATATATATATATATATATATATATATATATATATATATATATATATATTTGTATATTTTGGTAGCAGTCTTTCCTGTAGACATATATTATTAAATATGACCGAAAAAGTAAGATTAATAATTCTAACACGAATTTTCTCAATCTTTCGTACATTACGCTTCACTGTTGGAGGTAAATCAAAAATCAATTCTCCAAAATTCATTTTTATTTCTAGTCTACTAGAAATAAAAATGAATTTTGGAGAATTGATTTTTGATTTACCTCCAACAGTGAAGCGTAATGTACGAAAGATTGAGAAAATTCGTGTTAGAATTATTAATCTTACTTTTTCGGTCATATTTAATATATATATATATATATATATATATATATATATATATATATATATATATATATATATATATATATATATATATATAATCTCAAGGCTACTGGAAACACTTTAAACATAATCCAACTGCATCCTATTTGTGGACTGAGCAAGAGATAAAGAAGGTTGCTTCACATGTAGACATCTGACCAGCGGGGGGCACAATATATATATACACGTATATACACAGCACAAAGGCAGATATAAATATGGAAAGAGGGATACAAATAGTGGTGGGTGATATCAGCCATGACGAGCCTACAAGGGCGAAAATCACACAATTAACCGCACAATTTTAACATTATTTAAGAATATAGATGCCAGATTATCCAACATGCTACTGGACGGGACTCAAGTTTGAGTATAGATGAGTGTTAGTATAGATAAGTGTTAGTATTGATAAGTGTGAGCAAAGTTAAGCGTGAGTATGTCAGTATACTTAAGTGTAGGTATACACAGAGGAAAAGGGGGGGGGATATGATGCTATTAAATGTGTATTTTGAGGATAGAAAATCCAGGCATTACTATTAGTTCTCATAATAATCACCTCGTCAGTCTACAGGATCAACTTTCCGAAAAAAGGAACGTTGTGGAACCAAAATATGTTAATGTAAAAATGGAGACGAGATATAAAGTTGCATGGGTCAAAACTAGCTAAGATACCACAATAATGACAAAATTTAATCTACCCATCACCAGTTTATTGGAGAGAAAAAAATATATTTATGTAAATATTTCTATATACTGTGTATAGATATAAAAAAACAAGAGTATATATATATATATAATATATATAATATATATTATACTCTCGTCTAGAGAAAGTCTGTGCCTAATTTCGAAATAGAAGAGATTTTATGTTAAAGTTATCATGCAGTTTGGTAGTACTGTGGCGTGGACACCAGGCCTCACACCTAGCAGTGCTAGGAATAGACATCTAGTCCCGCACCCAGCAATGCTGAGGGGGGTGGACACGAGGTCACTGTCCCACCACCCATCGTTGCTGGGAGTGGACACCAGGCCCTCCACACCTAGCAGTGCTAGGGGGCAGACATCTTACTGGTCCACACAGAACAAGGCGGAAGCATTTAAAATTTCTCTGTTCTATTTTGCCGTGAAAGACAAGAAAAAAAGGGAATAAAGTGGTAAGGCTGTTTTGTGCGTGGCTCAGACAGTCCTGGCGCCTCGGACCACCGGTTCTCATTCCATGTTCGTCTTTGAGACATTTTCTACTTGCTAAAAACCAAAATGTTTGTCGTTTTAACGTGAGTTGTTAGGTCAAGGTGAACGACTGTGAGCACTTGAATATGTTGTTGGGTACTGCAAACGTTCGTCAGTACTAAAAACGTTTGTGAGTTGATGATTGGAAATATTAAATGAAATCAGGTAGAGGCAGCTCGAGTAGGACTGCGAGAACCAACACAAACATGCAAGGAGATGTGTTGTCATGCACCCACCACCATCACCACTGGGCCACCCATATTAGCCCACACATACTGGACCATCTAGACTAGGAACCCATATTGGCCTCCAACTTATATTAGGCCAACCAACCTATGGGAGCCGATCGGCCGAGCGGACAGCACACTGGACTTGTGATCCTGTGGTCCTGGGGTCGATCCCAGGCGCCGGCGAGAAACAATGGGCAAAGTTTCTTTCACCCTATGCCCCTGTTACCTAGCAGTAAATAGGTACCTGGGTGTTAGTCAGCTGTTACGGGCTGCTTCCTGGGGGTGGAGGCCTGGTCGTGGACCGGGCCGCGGGGACACTAAAGCCCCGAAATCATCTCAAGATAACCTCAAGATAACCATACCGGGTCACACATTCTGGTAATCCGTATTGACCACACATTCTGGGCTTCCCAATCTAATCTCAAAAACCCATCCATCCGTCACTCAGGCTTACTGCGTGGCCACACATTGCTCAGCTACTCGCACTGGCTTACCGCTGGTCGACCATGGGCACCCATACAGCATGCTAACCAGCGTAAGGTGCTCCACACCTTCAGCCATGCTGCTTGTATATTTGCCTCCTAACCTACTAGGTCCACCCCACACTGGCCTCTTTCTATTATGTCACAGAGGGTGAGGACCTGCCACTTGGCCACTTTGCCGCCAATATTGGTCACCAGTCACTGGGCATAGTGGGCACTTTTCATTATAGCCCCTCGATCGCATGGCTACCCATGCATATTATCAACATTGGCCTCCCATTGTTGGTATTCCACCCATTATGGTGTGGTTGTCCACCCATGCTAGTCAACGACACTTAATTTACACTTATCAATAACATGAATATGCTGCAGTTTGCAGAAAGTGCTCCAGATGGGCTGATAGGTACAATAGTCCTTTATAGTGGGTCTAGCGGACTGCCTGACCACTTTGTCAGGTCGTTCAGCACAAGATCAAGAGGTTTTTGAGACCAATAATAGTTTTAATGTTCTAAATTGCCCTGCGTTGGACGGCCAGTACAAATTGCCCCATAAGGACCCCCCAGCCAATCACAAGCCTCGTATTAACCAATACAAATATAGGCTAAATGACCTACAGCACCATTTGTCAGTAAAAGCTAAAAGCACATCAATTACTTCATCGATCCCTGTGCAAGACTTTTCAGTAGGACAAACACAATCTTTTGCATGGAGGCTACTTGTAGGTCGCTTGGCAGAGGCTGTCCTTTGCAGGATCAAACTGCAGGTCTCTTAGTAATACAAATAAATACGCCAGCCAATAGCTTATTAGTAAATACAATGCTCTTGCTAATTACATCCACACAGACCCATTCATATACATGTATCAGCTACGTCTGAGTCACTCGAGCGGTCGTTACGTCTGTTAACTGGGGGACCCGGTTGAAGGTCCCAATCTAGATCAGGTGGACCACTAAGGGTTACCCATGGTAAGGTACCTGTGGTTGACTAGTGACAACCAATTTAGGTTCCTAGTACAGGTGGCCCGGTAGAAAGTACCCAGTTCAGGTGATGCAACGGAGATTACCGGAGACAGGATACCCAGTAGAGGCTTCTGGTATGGTCTGCCCAGCAGGGAAGTGTGTGTGTGAGTGCTGACAAAACTCGCACACACATACACAACCATACATACATACACACGCACGCGCGCACACACACGCACGCGCACACACCTACCCCTCAGGATCAGCGCTGCAGTGGCAAAGAGGGCAAGAGAAAATGAAGAGTGACCGAGTTGGTTAATATTAAATAGTCATTTACCTTTCTTAGTTAAGACGGTGACATGTGACTGGGCTCTCGTGTGTCTTCACTCTCACCCCCATGCTCTCTCTCTCTCTCTCTCTCACTCTCTCTCTCTCTCTCTCTCTCTCTCTCTCTCTCTCTCTCCTCTCTCTCTCCTCTCTCTCTCTCTCCCTCTCCCCAGTTCTCATACACATGTTGCCTAAGCCTTGACACTGTCACCAACACTGTATACCCCGCCCTCGGGCTGTCACACACACACACACACACACACACACACACACACACACACACACACACACAGGCATAAACACACATACTCACACACAGTCACCAACACCAATATGTAATAACCAACAAACACTGATGATCTCCACACTCCACAAACATTCCCTGAAGAGAACAATACTGAGGCTCCTAACCACTGTTGTCCTGACTCTTACATCAACACAATCGAGACAATCTTTATAGAACAATAATCACACTTTTGATTAATACAAGTATTTATAAGATGTAACTTCCTGCCATTACGAATTATTATTGTTTATTATTAATTATTATTAAGACTACGCCACTACACCCTCAGGTAAACCTGATCTATGCCTGTGTTGTCAGGTCAGCGAGTGTGATTGGGCAAAAGTTAGATTTTGGATCAAGGAAGCGGTCAGCTGGTGAGAAGGACAACAGCTGGCTCTCCCATCAACACCTGCCTCTCCCATCAACACCTGCCTCTCCCATCAACACCTGCCTCTCCCATCAACACCTGCCTCTCCCATCAACACCTGCCTCTCCCATCAACACCTGCCTCTCCCATCAACACCTGCGTCTCCCATCAACACCTGCCTCTCCCATCAACACCTGCCTCTCCCATCAACACCTGCCTCTCCCATCAACACCTGCCTCTCCCATCAACACCTGCCTCTCCCATCAACACCTGCCTCTCCCATCAACACCTGACACTCCCATCAACACCTAGCACAGTCCAGTCAACATACGCGACCAGCACTTCACTAGGTAGAAACCATTGCAATCCCATTAGCAATATTCCTACAGAAAGGCAAGTCTGCCCTGAACACACCATTTGCCATTCCCTATAGAGCGTACCTTGTCACATATCATCACATCTTATGTATAGCAGCAAATGCAGAGTATCTTACTGACTGAACTAAAACAAATGTGACTTGAGTGAAGCTTCCCCCACCCCACATTACCTCCCCAACATAATAATAATAATAATAATAATAATAATAATAATAATAATGCTTCAGGAGGTCATGGAAGGTAGTTAAGTGAGGCAACATCATTTACAGGTGTATTTTACGTAATCAGAAAGACTAGTAGAAGCACCCCGCTAGGTTTTCAAGCAACCGAACGCTTCCACAGGCTCTTTGAGGCTTCGCCGTCTCCCAGAGACGACTCTTGACTCTTACAGGCAATACCAGAAGCTCTCCCTGGTTCCCAGAGGCACCCACCGGCTGTCAGAGACACCCACTGGCTGTCAGAGACACCCACTGGCTGTCAGAGACACCCACTGGCTGTCAGAGACACCCACTGGCTGTCAGAGACACCCACTGGCTGTCAGAGACACCCACTGGCTGTCAGAGACACCCACTGGCTGTCAGAGACACCCACTGGCTGTCAGAGACACCCACTGGCTGTCAGAGACACCCACTGGCTGTCAGAGGCACCCACTGGCTGTCAGAGACACCCACCGGCTGTCAGGGGCACCCACTGGCTGTCAGAGACACCCACTGGCTGTCAGAGACACGCACCGGCTGTCAGAGACACCCACTGGCTGTCAGAGACACTCACTGGCTGTCAGAGACACCCACTGGCTGTCAGAGACACCCACTGGCTGTCAGAGACACCCACTGGCTGTCAGAGACACCCACTGGTTGTCAGAGACACCCACTGGCTGTCAGAGACACCCACTGGTTGTCAGAGACACCCACTGGTTGTCAGGGGCACCCACTGGCTGTCAGAGACACCCACTGGCTGTCAGAGACACCCACTGGTTATCAGAGGCACCCACTGGTTATCAGAGGCACCCACTGGCTGTCAGAGACACCCACCGGCTGTCAGAGACACCCACTGGCTGTCAGAGGCACCCACTGGTTATCAGAGGCACCCACTGGCTGTCAGAGGCACCCACAAGCACTAACATCTTATCTGTATCTCCCAAAGACACTCAAAAATACTTAGTGGAATCCTCAGGCCTAAACAAGTGACCAGAGATAACCCCCTGAAAGCTTCTCAACGGCACCCAGAAGCCCCACATTCCCCCACAAGCAGCCAGACACACTTCCAACCTCCCCCACACACCTACTGACATTCCTGTGGTGACTGGGGCAGTGAGGCAGTAACTTAACTCTATCAGACTATCGTACACCCCTGCCATCATCTTGCATAAAAAAACTAAATCCTTCTTCAGCACCATTTGTCCGTCATGTTTCATATAGATTTCAATATAAAGTTCCAATTCATTCGAGTCTGTAACATCATTCAACATTTCATCTGTCTCTCATGGGAGTCAGGTCCTTATTTTCTCTTCGTGTGAACAGGGCTAATGTTTCTTGGAATGATACTAAGGAACACTAATTTCCAAAGTCAAAAATTGAATTACACCAAGTCCTCTTATCAAAATAAAAATTAAATTATAATATATTGTTTAAATAAATCATCTCAAGTCTGCACAAAGAGATCTGGGGCCAGGCTTGTTCATGGGCATATTTACGTGTTCATTTACGAAACCTGTTCATCATTCCTTAATCGTGATCTGTTAATCTGTATTCATTATACAATTTACGAGCAAAGCTTTGCAATCCAAGCACACACACACACACACACACACACACACACACACACACACACACACACACACACACACACACACACACACACACACACACACACACACACACACACACACACACACACACACACACGTAATTTACATACACAAAGATCCTGTAAATCTGAGACCACAATAGAAGCCTCTCAGACAAAACTGCATAATCTGTGGTCATATGAATAATACTTTAATACGATATGATAAAAACATTTAGCGAAATATAAATAAATGAATGTCACATTATATTAGCAACGTCAATCATATTAACGTTTGATGATGATTGAATTAAATAAGCCAAATTTTCGTCAAGGAAGTTATCAGATTATACAATGAAAGGCATTATAACATTCTACACTGAGGTACATGATCACATTATATACTGAATCTTGAGAAGACTCGGTGCTATAATCTTGAGAAGCAAAGCAGAATGATAAACTAAATTTTTAAATCCTCAAATGTAAGCGTAAACTAATCTATATACTTATGACAAATTTACAAATTTACACACGAATGATATCTCACCACAGCCTCTTTGATATTTTATACATAGGCCTGACTCCTTTGGAGGAACTACTTGGAGGCGTTCCAGAGGTCACACGAATTGTATATTTAAGGATGCAGTTTAAAGTGTAACCATCGTATGTGACCCTGAAAGAGTCCATTCAAGGAAGACCTTAAACGGATATTATTAAGAGTTACTTTCAACGATCATCTTTAAGAATAATGACGGCCGTCTTTGTCAGTCATTAAGCATGTCTTTACAGCTTAACTTTCAATGATTAACTTCAGTCTTAACCATTATAAAATCCACTGATCATGAATAATTATTTATATATAAAAAAACCTTTTATAGCTCAAAGAATGATCCATTCGGGCCAATCTTGAATGCTAGCCCTTATTCATAATCTAAATGCTTAGTCAAGGACGACAGTCTAAGGACAACCTCCAAAACAGCCCTATAAACAGGACACCTCAAGTCAACTCTTAAGAACGACCTTCTGAGGACCACCTCTAAGGTAGACCTCCAAGGAGAGAGCCCTAGGTAACCTACGACCAAAGTAACATCACCCTCTTTCATCCCTGCTGGTTAACTCACCCTTCGATGTCGTCCTCGTCCCTGTCGTTCCTGAGGGGCGCCTTGATGGCGTCGCCCTTGCCCACGACGCAGATGTCGCACTTCAGGTAACCTTTGGGTCCACCAGTGATATCGTCAGGGTCAGTCAGGAGAGCCCACTTGTGGTAAAACTGGTGTTCTGTTAGAGAGAGAGAGAGAGAGAGAGAGAGAGAGAGAGAGAGAGAGAGAGAGAGAGAGAGAGAGAGAGAGAGAGAGAGAGAGGAAAGAAAGCAAGTCAGAAAAGGGAAGCAAGATTGATTGGAGGTTTATGGTATAAAGCGAGAGGAGATTGGACAGAGAGTGGGTTGATATGGATTGGAATAAGGGTGAAGGTTGAGAGTCAATAGGAAAACAGGAAGAAAAAGAGTGGGGGGAAAATTCATTATTTTAGGCTACAGATCTATTCAGTCACTTCACAAAGATATTCAATTAGAGCCTGAATAGACCATAAATAAATATTGAGACAGCCTCTCTCTCTCTCTCTCTCTCTCTCTCTCTCTCTCTCTCTCTCTCTCTCTCTCTAAAACCTGGTTAAGTTAGCATGTGCTGTAGTAAGTAATAACATGCAGTGAGTGAGTATGCTAAGGTGCAGCAAGGGGAGAGAGAGAGAGAGAGAGAGAGAGAGAGAGAGAGAGAGAGAGAGAGAGAGAGAGAGAGAGAGAGAGAGAGAGAGAGAGAGAGAGAGAGAGAGAGAGAGAGAGAGAGAGAGAGAGAGAGAGAGAGAGAGAGAGAGAGGTGGGGAGGGAGGAACAGACACAAACATGCTCTCATTATTTAATCTGCAGTTCTCAAAATATTAAAAAAACAAAATGAAATCCATTTAATACAGCCTTTTCTTTTTAATTTCGATTCGCCAGCTATTGAGTTTATCTTTAAACCAGTTACCGAGTTCGGAAAAATTTCCTGAATTCATTTTGAGCTCCATTAATGAATTACCAACATTTTTTAGCGTTCGAGGCTCCGTGTGTTTCAATGTTAAGCTCTATAGGCTCATATTTCCCTTACAATTGTGGTTGATTCAATATATTTTTCAACTGAATTGAACCAAGAGATGAAAAGCTTCAATGCTTCAAGAAAAAAGAGCGTCATTGTAATGAACTGAGATATGAAGGTGGTGTGTTTGTGTGTGTAATTACCAAAGTGTAATTACCAGCTAAGTGTAGTTACAGGATGAGAGCTACGCTCGTGGTGTCCCGTCTTCCCAGCACTCTTTGTCATATAACGCTTTGTATTGTGTGTGTGTGTGTGTGTGTGTGTGTGTGTGTAGTGTAGAGTAGAGAGTAGATGTTAGGTTTATGTAATAGATGTAGGTTTATGTAGTAGGTTTATGTAGTAGTAGATGTTAGGTTTATGTAGTAGTAGATGTTGGTTTAGGTAGTGGTAGATGATTGACCGGTAGATGAATCGGAGGTAAATGAAAACGTATATGATAATAATGTGGTAGTTTAGTGGTAGACAAACAACCTGTAGACGAGTTATCAGTAAATAATTGACTGCAGGAGCAACTGCTACATTTTCTATACAACCGCTTCAAAGTTTCGTTCCGTGAAAGATATTCTGAATCTTCCTTTAATTCTGACCAGCTTCACGTAGGCCCACCTTGCCTAAGCTTCACCGTCCGGCGACATTATCCCCGCCACGTAGGCCTACCAGCCTATTTATATTCAGAACTTCACGTTTTCTTTCGAGATTTAAGTAAAAGCGTTTCCTGGCCGGTCCTATGTATTGCTGGGATTTGAATTTATTTAATGTCACACATCGAAGCGCCAAGTGACCTCACCTGGCTCTAATCTGACCTATCCTGACCCTATTAGAGAGGGATGGGATAGGTGGAAGAGGTGGGTGCTGGCAAGTGCGCAGGGGTAGGTAGGCGGGGAGGAGAGAGACGGGAAGGGGACAGGTGGATGGGACGGGCCAAGAGAAACGGAAGAGACAGGTGGAAGGGGGACCTCCAAGACTTACCTGACTGGGACCAGACTGTGGCCACGTCCAGCTTGAAGCTGCCGAGAACTTTATTAGACCTGAGAATGTTACGACTTTGGAGAACCTGGCGGGCAGAGCGTGGGCGTGGGAGGGAGGCCGGTGTGGGCGGTGGGCGTGTGTGGGTAGCGGTGGGCGGGAGATGGCCAGCCAGCACACATGGACAGGTGGTGGAGGAGAAGAAAACAAAAGTGAACATAAGATGCGTGACAGACCAAATATTAGCAAGATTTTCTGTGATAACTTTGTAAATAGAAGGTGCAGTGCATTAGACAGACACACACAGCGAGAACGTCAACATGACAAATAGACAGACATGACAGGAAGCACTCTGATTAAACTCACCAGCATAATAGCATTTAAAACGTAAATTCTTTGCTCTGTCTGGGTGTGTCTGTCTGTCTGTTGAAGCATCAGTCGATGACGGAGGGGCAACAGAGGCGGAAGGGAAACGTATCCAGTAAAAATAATAACACTGCTCAATCGGTGAGTGCAATACTGATCCACTGGCGGGAAGGGGATGATCCAGATCACTGAATAGGGAGGTATATAGGTCTCATCTTTAGTAGCAATATTGAAAACTGAATGGCCCCCCAGTAACAGCCATTCCCCCATCCCCTGATCACCGTCTCCAATAACTGCCCATTCAAGGTTCCATCATGCTGGGTCATGCAGAGAGCGGCTAGCTGCTGCTGCTGGTGTTCCTGCTGCTTAAAGGAGGGAAAAAAGGTGGTTGAGTTTGTCAAGCTAATTAAAGGCATTATTTGCGGCAGAGCGTGAAGATATTCCGAGAGAACAAGCACACACACACAGACTTGGGGGAGCTGAAAGAGAATGTGAGTGTGTGTGCATGGATAGAACCGTTGATGCTTTCTCCATATATATATATGAACAGAGAGAGAGAGAGAATATCAAGAGTATACAATGTGTGTAGGAAAACTATAGAAGTACCGGGAGCTCTGAAAAGTGTCGCCAAATCCATCTTGAACCATCCTATGACCTCTCCCTTGGAGAAGAACTTCCTGGAGTGGAGCACCTGAAAGAAAATAACAGTGCTAAGGGTGATGGAGGCGCGAGGTAGGGATACACAACAGCAGTGAGGCAGGAACAGAATATACACGCGATGATCATATATTGACGGCATGATACTGTACCTGTGAACCTCTTGGGGAATCAAGTTAAGCACTTCCGTGACCGTGAAGAGCCACGTGCTGAACCTAGCAGCAGCTGAGACACTTATAGCCCCACCACGGTCATTCTCGACAGCAGCGGTTGAGAAACCCTGCATGAAGCACAAGTCCGCTCTAATCTTGTGAATGCACCACTCTCATATATAGCCTGCACCCCTCCCTCCCCCCATAATATTGTAGAATTCTGCACAAGGTAGGAACCGTGCTAGAAGACTCATTTCTAGCCTTGACCCATCTAGGAGATGTCGACGGCCTTACTAATATATGTAAGACCAATATTCTCATGGTTATTTTCCTGGCCCAACTTCGTGGTGAAAAGAAGTTGGTAGTTTCTGAATAATTCCAAATTAAAAATGTATAATATTAATAAATAAGTTCCAAGGGTTAGGGCTCAGAACAAGCAATTAGTAAACAGAGAAATAAACATTTGTATAAACACAAGAGCATGTTACAAATCGAATTGCTAGTCGCGATGTCAGTTACCGGAGGTCAAGACAATTATCGGTTAAACTGGTAATACATTGACGGTTGTCGCGGTGAGAGGAACCATATTTTTCACCTGTATTTTGTACGTGGTGATCAAGTCTCTCTATTTTCTCTCCCTGTGACGCAAGGTTTAAGTCCAAGTTTGTTTTCTCGAATTCATACCTTTAGACGTTCTCCAGCTTCGTTTAGTATACATATTTAAACATGTGGCCTCCAGACCGAGTCCCGTATGTATGTCAGGTGTTCTGCCGTGCCCGTCCCGACCAGCCGGACACGAATTATGCCAAAATGCTGTTTTCTTATGCTGTAAAATTGTTGAAGTTTAATGAAGACATTTTTTGTTAATCGGCGAGAAAGCGCGTGCAAGAGCGAGTATAATTAGATTAATTTTTCTTTAATAAGTTGCAACAGGAAACGCAATTACAGAAAGTTATAAATACATGTCTCTGGCTAGTCAACAGGCGAGAATTAATTCCAGTGACAATACACTACGAACTGAAGCAACGCAGGTTTTTATTAAGAAAAAGTATTCAAATATGAAAACATTGAGGCATAATGGAGAAAAATTACATTAAGGTTCTTAGGACCGAATGCGGATAAAAGGACGAGACCAGAAAGCATAGAATGGGAGAGAAATGGGAAAAATATTGTGTTGCGTTCGTAGTGTTGTATGTGTGTGTATATTGCGTTGCGTTCGTAGTGTTGTATGTGTGTGTATATTGCGTTGCGTTCGTAGTGTTGTATGTGTGTGTATATTGCGTTGCGTTCGTAGTGTTGTATGTGTGTGTATATTGCGTTGCGTTCGTAGTGTTGTATGTGTGTGTATATTGCGTTGCGTTCGTAGTGTTGTGTGTGTAATTACCTAAGTGTAGTTACAGGATGAGAGCTACGCTCGTGGTGTCCCGTCTTCCCAGCACTCTTTGTCAAATAACGCTTTGAAACTACTGACGGTCTTGGCCTCCACCACCTTCTCACCTAACTTGTTCCAACCGTCTACCACTCTGTTTGCGAAAGTGAATTTTCTTATATTTCTTCGGCATCTGTGTTTAGCTAGTTTAAATCTATGACCTCTTGTTCTTATCTATGACCTCTTGTTCTTATCTATGACCTCTTGTTCTTATCTATGACCCCTTGTTCTTATCTATGACCTCTTGTTCTTATCTATGACCTCTTGTTCTTATCTATGACCTCTTGTTCTTATCTATGACCTCTTGTTCTTATCTATGACCTCTTGTTCTTATCTATGACCTCTTGTTCTTAAAGTTCCAGATTTCAGGAAGTCTCAGGTGTGTGAATATTGTGTGGCATTCGTGGTGTTGATAGTATGGGAAAATAATTTAGCCGCGCGAGTGTTGAAGAGGATTACGATGCTCTCTGCAGGGCGTTAAAGAAAGAATTACAAGGTAAAAAGACTTGCAAGCATATCTCTACAGGTCGTAGACTTATGTGTTAGTATAATACTCGTATGTTCATTCAGAAGAGAGAGCTACAAAGGCGAAATTCATTTTGCTGTCGAGAACCCTTATGCCTAAATTTTGAGATACATAAACAAGGTTAAACATGTATTTGTGTATATATAAATAGCCTGACACAGCAAGGAGGCGTCCGGTGATCTAAGTGACTACATCCTGACACATGGTGAGACACATGCCTGCAACCTGAGACATGGTGAGACACATGCCTGCAACCTGGGACATGGTGAGACACATGCCTGCAACCTGAGACATGGTGAGACACATGCCTGCAACCTGACACATGTTGAGACACATGCCTGCAGCCTGAGACATGGTGAGACACATGCCTGCAACCTGACACATGTTGAGACACATGCCTGCAGCCTGAGACATGGTGAGACACATGCCTGCAACCTGACACATGTTGAGACACATGCCTGCAGCCTGAGACATGGTGAGACACATGCCTGCAGCCTGAGACATGGTGAGACACATGCCTGCAGCCTGACACATGTTGAGACACATGCCTGCAACCTGACACATGTTGAGACACATGCCTACAACCTGACACATGAAACCTGATGCGTATATTCCGTAGACTGCTGCCTGAGGTGTGGTCTGGGAGGAGACTTCACTTAATAAATATAACTATTAACATTATAGTTCATGTTATAGAAGAAATTCTCTAATAGAAGTACAGTTTACGGGGGTTTGTTTTATTATGTTTAGGTATATATCGTATACTTAAAAGCTTCCTTAACTTTATAAGATTACATGGAACTTAAATTTGGTCTGGGTACTAGTTTTATATAGTGGATACCTGATGTGAGTGTTTATGTACCTGCGTCCCAGTCTGTACGCATGGGAGATGGGCCTCGTAGTGTAGTCCACCATGTTAACGTGGGAGATGCCTCACACTCCCAGGGTCAAGAGTAACGGGGATGGAGGGAAAGTAGTACGAGGCTGACAGGGTCGAGGGGTTAGAGTGGATGGGCCAGGGTGTAGGGGCTAGGGTGGATAGGGGAGATGGCTTATGGAGGGAAGACACGGGAGATCTCGTGGGTGATCCTTACAAGGCAGAAGAGTCTGTGACTTAAAAGTTCGTGAAGCACACACTGTTGTCTAGCTTAAACGAGATTAACTTGACTTTATTATGTTTGCTGGGGTTAGTTAGATTAAAAATCTGACGCGTGAAAGCAGAGAATGAGAGAGAGAGAGAGAGAGAGAGAGAGAGAGAGAGAGAGAGAGAGAGAGAGAGAGAGAGAGAGAGAGAGAGAGAGAGAGAGAGAGAGAGAGAGAGATATTATGGAGAAAGTTACACACACTCCGAAGACAGAGAATGATTCAGGAAAGCATTATTTCCCCGTGTACAAGGGGTCAGAAGCGCTCAGGTGGGCGGCGGGCGCTACCCTCCCTCTCCGGCCAGCACCGTTCGCGCCTCTCAGGAAGTGGAGTCCACTTTTAAAGAGGACATCACTCGCACGTGGCGTGTCTGGTATATATGGACACACCTGTGTAGACGGCGCCTCGTCAACATGGCTAACACCACACTCGTCTCTCGTTTGAGAGACACGCTTGACAAGGGGACTCCAGTGGGCCCGATCCGGGGCCCGTCCCATGAATCCATTCCGTGACACCACCACAATCAACACTAATTCATCATTACCTCAACGACTATCATCATCACACCCCAACTCCTACCACACACAACCTCAGACGCGCCACAGACGATGAAGCGAGGACGCCTCTCGCCACAGCTGAAGGTCTCAAGGAGCCCTCAGGAACTCTCAAGTTTAAAGACTTCAACATTTTTCTATACAGTTTCTTCCTTAATAATAGTTCATTGTTATCCCTCTTCTCATTCTTATTACCATTAGAAAATGAATAATGTATATTTTATAGCTAATTATGCATTAACACAATGCTATTTAATGGATTGACTGAAGCCATCGAGAGCTATATTGTGCTAGAATCTATAATACTTATACTTAAAAATCTGTATTGTAGGTCTATAAGTATAATTATAAGTATACACATTATTAGGAATCTAATTACTATTCTTATATATTAATATAGAGCATGAAGTAGGACCCGTGTGTAGCCCTACAGAGGGGGACTATTGACCACCATACCTCTATTACAATAACAGTTGGGTATTGAGCGCAAAAGATATCACTTTTGTATGGTTCCGGGTTAACGTGTAGCGAGAGACCACTTTTGTTTGGCGTGTTGAGCAAAACAATACTATTTTCTCGTACCGTGAAATTGCTGCACTCTGTTCTTTATATATCGTAAAAGATCAGCAACCTTACACAATAGAACACACACACACACACACACACACACACACACACACACACACACACACACACTGTGTGTGTGTGTGTGTGTGTGTTTGCTGATGATAATTGCTGATGATGCAAAAATTATGAGGACGATTAGGACAGAAGAAAATAGTTTAAGTCTACACAATGACCTAAACAAGCTGAAGGAATAATCCAACAAGTGGTTACTAAAGTTCAACCCAAGTAAATGTTAGGTGATGAAACTTTTTCTAAGTTTCGGAGGAAATAGGAGGTCAGACACTGAATACCGAATGGGAGAGGAATTCCTTCACGAAACGGACAGAGAGAAAGATCTAGGGGTTGATATCACTCCAAACCTGTCACCTGAAGCCCACATCAAAAGAATAACAACTGCGGTGTATGCGAACTTGGCTAAAATCAGGACTGTCTTTAGAAACCTGTGTAAGGAATCTTTCAGAACCTTGTATACCACATATGTAAGACCAATCCTGGAGTATGCGGCCCCAGCATGGAGCCCGTACCTTGTCAAGCACAAGACGAAGCTGGAAAAAGTTCACAAGTATGCCACTAGACTACTCCCAGAACTAAGAGGCATGAGTTACGAGAAAAGGCTGCGTAAAATGCACTTCAAGTCGCTAGAAGACTGGAGAGCTCGGGGAGACATGATCACTGCCTGCAAAGTTTTAAGAGGAATCGACAGGGTAGATAGATAAATTGTTTAACACGGGTGGTACGCGAACAAGGGGACACAGGTGGAAACTGAGTACCCACATGAGCCACAGGGACGTTAGAAAGAACTTTTTCAGTGTAAGAGTAGTTAACAAGTGGAATGCATTAGGCAGTAATGTGGTGGAGGCTGACTCCATACACAGTTTCAAATGTAGATATGATAGAGCCCAATAGGCTCAGGAATCTGTACACCAGTTGATTGATAGTTAAGAGGCGGGACCAAAGAGCCAGAGCTCAACCTAGTACAACTAGGTGAACTAGGTGAGTAGACACACGATGGAGGGAGAAAGGGAGGGAGACAGGATGGGGGGAGACAGGATGAAGGGGGGAGAAAGGATGGAGGGAGGTGGTTAATAGAGAGGGGGAGAGACAGGATGTAGAGAGGGAGGGAGAGAGAGAGAGAGAGAGAGAGAGAGAGAGAGAGAGAGAGAGAGAGAGAGAGAGAGAGAGAGAGAGAGACAGAGAGAGAGAGAGAGAGAGAGAGACATACTCAGAGCCAGGGGTGCCTGGTATGCCAGTGCTCCCACCATCTCTGCCAACTGAGGACAGCCTGTTGGTGTGGCACCCAACAGATAAGCTGAGGGGATTAACAGCCCTGGACACACACACACACACACACACACACACACACACACACACACACACACACACACACACACACACACACACACACACGTTTGGGTTTCTCAGTCCACGACTCCTGTTCAAGGCAGAAACAAATAGTCACAGGTTCTTTTCCTAACGCCTCAGTTCACACAACAGAATATGCTTTTGTTGGAACGCTGTTATTGTTTGTATTCTGGGAAAGGGTAAAAGGGTGGGGGATGTAGTAAATATGACCTAGGAAAAGAAAACGGGAGTCAGTAACATTAAACAATCAACGGCTAGAAAGGCCGGGTCCAGGAACTAACAGCTCGATCCATCAGGCACAAATAGTAAAAAAAAAAATCGGAGAAATACATGGAGACATTCATGGGACGTGACCTTATAAGCTCGTGCATGTGTGAGATAAAACACTTCATGGAGGGAATATCTCAGAGTCCGGCCTGTTTGTGTGTGTGTGTGAGGATGGTGGTGGGGGGGGGGGGCTTTACAGCTTGGCATGTATATGTAGACTTCAACACGTGTATGTATACAAGTTTGTATCCATGCATACGGAACAACACATCACGGTCGAAAACACATTCATGCCCTGACGGCCTGACGGCTGAGTGGACAGCGCACGGGATTCGTGGTCCTAAGGGTCCGGGTTTGATCCCAGGTGGAAGCGAAAACAAATGGCCAGAGTTTCTTTCACTCTGATGCTCTGTTCACCTAGCAGTAAAATAGGTATCTGGGAGCTAGACAGCTGCTACGAGCTGCTTCCTGTGTGTGTACTCACCTAATTGTGCTTGCGGGGGTTGAGCTTTGGCTCTTTGGTCCCGCCTCTGTGTGTGTGTGTGTGTGTGTGTGTGTGTGTGTGTGTGTGTGTGTGTGTGTGTGTGTGTGTGTACTTACCTATTTGTACTTACCTAGTTGTGCTTGCGGGGATTGAGCTCTGACTCTTTGGTCCCGCCTCTCAACTGTCAATCAACTGGTGTACAGGTTCCTGAGCCTATTGGGCTCTATCATATCTACACTTGAAACTGTGTATGGAGTCAGCCTCCACCACATGACTTCTTAATGCATTCTATTTGTCAACCACTCTGACATTGAAAAAAAATTCTTTCTAATGTCTCTATGGCTCCTTTGGGCACTCAATTTCCACCTGTCCCCCTTAGTGCGTGTGCCTCTGGTGTTAAATAGTCTGTCTTTATCTACCCTATCAATTCCTCTGAGAATCTTGTATGTGGTGATCATGTCCTCCCTAACTCTTCTGTCTCCCAGTGACGTGAGGCTTAATTCCCGTAGTCTCTCCTCGTAGCTCATACCCCTCAGTTTGGGTACTAGTCTGGTGGCAAACCTTTGACCCCTTTCCAACTTAGTTTTATGCTTGACTAGATATGGACTCCATGCTGGAGCCGCATACTCCAGGATTGGTCTGACATATGTGGTATACAAAGTTCTGAATTATTCCTTACACAAGTTTCTAAGGGCCGTTCTTATGTTGGCCAACCACCAATATGCCGCTGATGGTATCCTCTTGATATGGCCTTCAGGGGACAGGTCTGGCGTTATATCAACTACCAGGTCTTTCTCTCTCTGACTCGAAGTATTTCATCTCCCAAATGATACCTCGCATTTGGTCTTCTACTCCTTACACCTATATTCATTACATTACATTTGTTTGGATTAAACTAACAACCACTTATTCGACCATTCTTTCAGTTTGTCCAGGTCTTCTTGAAGCCTCAAGCTGTCCTCCTCTATCTTAATTCTCATAATTTTGGCGTCGTCAACAAACATTGAGAGGAATGAGTCTATACCCTCTGGGAGATCATTTACGAATATCAGAAACAGGATAGGTCCGAGTACAGAGCCCTGTGGGACTCCACTGGTGACTTCACGCCAATCTGTGTGAAGCCACACAGATAGGCGTGAACATACACTCACACACCACACTGGTGTGTGTGTGTGTGTGTGTGTGTGTGTGTGTGTGTGTGTGTGTGTGTGTGTGTGTGTGTGTGTGTGTGTGTGTGTGTGTGTGTGTGTGTGTGTATGTGTGTTTGTTTCAACCATAATAAGTATATAGAAGCATTATTATTTCACGTATCTCCTTGTTATAATCGTCGTGTTCCCCCTTTCTCTTGATCATTCATGAACACATTTCTCGTGCCGTGGCTATGTAGCAGCTCAGTCTGGTGCTGAGCTTTGGCGACTACGTCATCCCCACACTGTTGTTCAGCCATTCATCCATCTCAAGTGTACCCATTCCTCGATCTTTTGCCTACAATGTCATTTTCTTCAGTGTTCTCTGCTTTTCTTCCACAATCTATTGCTTCCTTGCCATTGCCTGCAAGCGGAGCGTGTTGCTCCATGAGCTCATGCTCTCCTTGGTTCCCTCATCTCTCAGTGAGAGAATCAGTGAGGAAAGGTGAGGGAAAGTATCTTCCCTCGCCTTCATAACATCTACATAAGCGAATAATAACAATGGTCACTGGCCACCATTAGCATGTCATAATCATCTCTCCCACAGTCCATCACTTTGTGAATACACTAGCCAAGAGTCGCCGACTGCTTCTACTCTCTATTCTGAGAGTCCTCAACGTTTTGAGCTTAAACGTTTCATCCTGTTACTTCTACCAGCTTCGCTCTCCATGTCCCTCTCCCGCAATAAGGTTCATTTTCCCCCCCAGTCAAAATGTTTTATATAAATGTGTGTGCATGTATGTATATTTGTATGCACGCGCACGCAGTTTTATTCACACCATGGTTTTAAGTCGAGGACTTGTACAAAACTTTGCACACAGGAACCAAACAAAACGGAGCATGCAATAGATTTCCAACTTTTAAGACGTCCTGTTCAACTTTACCGAGTGGGCGTTGGCATACCGTTATGTCCCTGACGGTTTATAAATCCTGGCCGGGGAAGGGCGGAGGGAGGAGAGAGGAGAGAGAGAGAGAGAGAGAGAGAGAGAGAGAGAGAGAGAGAGAGAGAGAGAGAGAGAGAGAGAGAGAGAGAGAGAGAGAGAGAGAGAGAGACAGAGAGACAGAGACAGAGACAGCAGAGAGACAGAGAGACAGAGACAGAGAGAGACAGAGACAGAGACAGAGACAGAGAGACAGACAGACACACTACCCTCCCAGCCACCAGCACTCATCAGCCTCACCAGCCTGGGGGGAACCAACACTCATCAGCCTCACCAGCCTGGGGGGAACCAACACTCATCAGCCTCACCAGCCACGAACATTCATCAGAAACTCCCACATCTGAACATTTCATTGAGCAACACGACACATTTCCTGTGGGCGTCTGAGCCTGATATTGGCAGCCAGGCGATAAGCGAACCCCATCCTTACGCAGCATTCATGTTAGGGGGTGATGGTGAAGGTGAGGTAAAGGGGTGAAGATGAGGTAAGGGGGGTAGTGAAGGTGAGGTAAGGGGGTAGAGAAGGTGAGGTAAGGGGGTAGAGAAGGTGAGGTAAGGGGGGTAGAATGAGGTAATGAGGTAATTAAACCATTCTCATGCTTCAATAACCTTCAGTTCCCAAAGTCAAGTGAAGTTAAATTTAGTTTAATATTTTTACTCTGACCTCTGAAGCTCTGATAAGGTCAATACGTGATAAGAATCAACTATTTCGTTAGGAGAAAAAAATCCCTTTGTAAAAGAGCCGTTGACAATATTGAGATTTGCAAGAGAGATTTATAATATATATTTGCATTGAAGTCACAGTGAATATAAATGGGAAGCACGCTAACTTGGTGGACAGACAGGTAATGGACTCCCATCAGCCTGATGCCTGATATATAGGAGATATATGTATATATATTATATAGGAGGATGTGCAGCATTTATTTACTTGGTGACAGAGGTGGAAACAGAAGTGAGAGTGAGTGAGTGAGTGAGTGAGTGAGAGAGAGAGAGAGAGAGAGAGAGAGAGAGAGAGAGAGAGAGAGAGAGAGAGAGAGAGAGAGAGAGAGAGAGAGAGAGAGAGAGAGAGAAGAGAATGAGATGGGATGGGAATGAGAAAGCGCCAAACCATTACGACTATATAACACTTGTGGAGAGAGGGGGGGGGGAAATAGAGAGATAAAGATGGTGCGGAAGACAGGTAAAGAGAAAGAGGGAGGGAAGGAGTAGAGGAGAAAAGGGAGAGCGAAAAGAGTAGGAGAGGAGAAGACGATTGGTGGCAGAAAGGTGGAGACAGTGGGTCAAGGGAAGGGGAAAGGGGGGAGGGGTTGTGGTAAGGGGGGAAGAGAGATGAGAAAATGAGAAAAGAGGGTGGGAAAATGAGAGCCTGGGAGAGGGGAGGGGAGACAAGGGGAGAGTGAGGAGGAGGAGAGACCTGGGCACTGCCGGTGACCTCGTCAAGTATTCCATAAATCATTTCAAGCTTAACCATCAATGTCGGCGATGCTTAGCATATCATCATCCCTGAACCATCAAAGTTAGTAACCCCCCAAATCCCATTCTGCAACAAAACTCTCTTTGCAACATTCAATATTATTTCACATTAATACAGCGTATTCGGTGTTCAGCGACTCTCGTTGCAAAGTAATGCATTGCAACTTGATCACGGTTCATTACAATGTCATCAATCCACTACGATATCATGACAGCGCACAATATGTTATCCGGTACTTTGATTTCATTGCGGTTCATTACAATGTCATCAATCCACTACGATATCATGACAGCGCACAATATGTTATCCGGTACTTTGATTTCATTGCAGCAGTCAAAACGTTAATCAATCGTTGATGATAAGTCCTCCGATTACGCAGATGCACTTCCCTCTGACATCAATACAGTTCACTGCAACATTACAACAGCCCATTGGCAGTGCAAATCATTGCAATACCTCTACAACCCACTGTACCACTACCACAATGCTCTACAACCCACTGTACCACTACCA